CAATATGTGGCAACAACATATGGCAATAATATAGGACAATAATTCATGGAATATATTTTTCGTTACAAGAGTCAATGCAAATTTGCGGCATGCACAATGTAATAATAAAAGTAATAATAAAGTAATAATAAAAGTTCTTTTTGCGAGCTTTGAGTCAGACACTCACCAATGATGATATTGATGATGTCCTGTTGCATCCAACCAGATCCACCAATGTCCGCCCATGTCCGCTGCCGCTCTCCATGTCGCGCAACATCCATCTTGCAGCGTCCCACGGTGATCGCTACACTTTCATCACACTTCCGCGACGCGATCGATACGCGGTATTAGAACGGCGATATTTACATCAATTAGCGAACGTTTTACTCGCCATCGGTGGAAACTTTTTGCGCGCTGCGAAACGGACTCTATAAACTCGATCGGCGATGAGTAAGAACCGTGTGAAAATTTATTGACTCGTCCAACGGATTTTTACGGTGCTTTTCACGATTGCGTCTGAAAAGTCGCGAAAATGTGGGATTATCGATATCTACGAGTGAAATATTCGCGACGCGAATGCACGCGAGGAAAGATTAGACAATCAGAAACCGGTCCCCCTTAGGGAGCGCAAAGAGAGAGGAGCGGGGCAAAGTTTTCACACATTATAGCTCTGTTACGACGAAGCTTATGTTCGCGATATGAGAATTTGGCGAAATGAGAATTTAAGATTTCTTTGTTAGCAGCGCGGATAAAAACGCGTATATTGATAACCGCGGTCGCGGTATTCAAAGGCACGCGAGCGAGGATACCTCAAGCTCGGCATGCACTCGGCGTGCACTGGCGCAATTTCTGTGCGCATTATACGCTACTCGAGACAATATAGGGATCGTAATGAATGGACAATATTGTCAAATAATTCTACAGCCTGTTTTACAAATAAAAGAAAAGTAGCCAACCGTATCGGCATTTATGAGTATGAATATATTTTACACGAACAATTGAATATTGTCAAATAATTAAATCGTTAAATAATTCTGCGACCCGCTTGAAAAATAAAATTAAAGCAGCTGATGACATGTATCGCATTTGTACATATGAATATCTCTTATTCAGATGACTGAACATCAAAAGAGAATCATTCAGTGTTTTAAATCTCGTATGTAATGCAGGCTATTGATCAAGTAATCCCCTAATTGTTTCGAGCAATGTATTTTATTCAACGTCACAAACACACACATGCAAGAATCTATTTGCAATTTGCATTGACTCGAACGATATTTTTTAGTCCCACATCCGTCATGCAGAATTTTGTTTCTCTTTTTATTTTGACTCACCGAAACGACTTGCAGTCAGAGCCGACCACGTTCCGCTTCAACTCTGTAACAAAAAATTCACATTCGCTCATCAGATTTGTACCAACGAGTGCAGGCGAGTAAAAGAGTAGTTTACCCTTTGCGATCGTAATTCAAGTCGAGCCGGAAATTATATCCCAGCTCTAGATCGCCAAGGGTCAAACAGAGGACTATAATAAACTTGTAAACTTACCTTCAAGCCGACTCTGCTTCGCCCGAACCGGATCCTCCGGTGCGGCATCCGCGTCCACCGGATTGCTGTTGCTTTCCGCAACAACTGAAACAGAAAAATCATTTTCCCGGTTGATAACCTGCGGTAGAGAGAGAATATCTTTGATCGGGACCAATCGAAAATACGGATATATTTTGATACGGAATTTTTATCTTTATATTTTTGTTCCAACATTGAAAATTTAAATGGGACTTGAAGCTTTCAAGAGAGCTGATGAGGAACAAGTTACAAAGGCAAAGATCGTAAAGAGTTGAACACAGATGTGTAGGAAACTTGTAAACTTTACCTTCCGGCCGACCCTGCTCTGCCCGAACCGGATCCTCCGGTGCGGCATCCGCGTCCGCCGGACTTGCTTCCCGCAACGTCTGGAACAAAAATTTAGCGTTCTTGGTTGGTAAGCTGCGGTAGAGAAAAAATGGTTGGTCGGGATGAGTGGAGAATATTCGCTACGATTTTTTTTCTTTATTGACATTGAATGTCTAGATAGGAGCTCTTGAAAGAGCTGACGAAAGAAAATGACAATAAGAAGCGGAGACAACAGTTGTGTGCTCTCGAAAATATTCTTTTACGGATGGACATTTAAATTCAGATCCCGTAACAAGAGTAAACAAACTTGAAAGAAGCGCTGACCGAAAACAAAAAGGTCGCAGTCTAAGAAGCGATATGACGTTGAATATTCTACACAGACCAATATTCTCACACAGGAATTGGGAATGATTCAGAATGTTTGATTGAGAACATGATGAATTCGAGATCCACGTCCATGGACCGTTATCCGTCTCTGTCTGGATCAATATCTTTTGAATACAACAACGCAATAAATAGACAGACAGACAGAGATTGACGAGAGTAATTGCAAATTCATAAAGTGATGATTACTAGTCGGATGATGACGGATTGTGAATGCCGAGCGCGAAATTCCGACTTCTTATTCCCGGAAAATTCGTCAAACGTACGCTCTCGTTATCGGAGACCACCCGCGTAATAAATGATTCCACATACCTGGAAACGTGACGTATCGCTGCCGGCGTTCTGCTTCTCGACTGCTGAAGTCCTCCGGATTTCACTCGCTCACGCTTCTAATGCTGATACTCGCGATTCGACCGTAAAGTTAATGAATGAGATGCCGACGCGATGCCGATTGAGTATCTCGAGGACCGACGAGATATATTTCTTTTAATTACACGAGACGGAAGTGACGAGAGCGTCGCGCACGGCTGCTGCTGATGGAATGAGGTCGAATACATGAGCGAGTGCGCGAGTATTATAATACGAAGGGCAAAAAGTGTCGTCGCTCGCGAGCCGATCAACACAATTGGCGCGATGTAAACATTGCGGGGCTCGGCGACGGTTGAAGCAAGAGAGACTTGCCTTTGAGCGTCTCTTGTTTTCTCGAAGGTTTCGGAACGACGAGGGGAATGCGAGGAGGCCTTTCAACTGTACGCGACATTGATGCACTCTATTTATTGATTACTGAAAATAAAGAAAATTACTCTGTCGAAGCATCGGACATTTGTTAGCTTTACGTTAATTAAAAAGGAATGTATACGATTAGAAAATGTGTTAGCAACTAATTGTACAGAGTGTAAGTTGTTGTGACGCCGTTTTCAGAGAATAATTAAAGGTCATGGTAGCGTTAAAGAATGGAATTTCCTCCTATGCGAATTTAGTCGCGCTCTTATTAAATATTAGTCCTATATAAAATGTCGTATTTAAAAGTATTGTTTCGCATTCACGAGATTTTGTCGTGAATTCTGCTCTCAGATTGGATCGCGGGTGAATACTTTTTCATGCGACGGGGAATAGAACGTGAAAATCTTGTATGCCTCTGAATCCGAAAACGATTAGGAGAAGTGAATATTTTTCAATACGAAAGTTCGCATTTAAAAATTATCGATTGCGATTGAATACAAGGCATATTTGAAATGAATTGAATCCTTGTTAATGCGAAGCATTCACTATTGCCATCTCGCATTTAGCGCGGTGAAATTTAATGGGAACTAATACTTTTTATTTTCCCTTTCTTCGGATCAGAAAGCAGAATTCAGACGTATTCAAAATGTCAATACTTTTTAATATGTTTCAGTTCGACATTTTATACAGGGAGATTATCCGCTGCGGACAATAACTCTTCTACTTTTCATTTAATATTCAATGATGATAAATAACATTTAATTGCATTCGTTTGGCTTTTTTTATTTCGAAAATAAGAAAATATACACCGGGGTGAGATTTTACCCATGACAACATTAACGTGATTTTCTTTGATGCTTTTTTTAAAAGTTCAAATATTTCGTCGACTCGCGGGATATTTATAATCGGAGTCTCGTCACGTTAATTACGTGAATAACACGTGCTCCTCCGAGCGGATCGAATGCTCACCGACGGTCACTGTCAGTGCCACGAGCGAATGTCCGGAGCGGACGGGATGCTGAATTAAAAAACAAGACGAAGTGAACGGGACGCGGACAACGATACATCATGCGTCTCCATACATGTCAAATTGTTTATTATAGAAGAGACTTTGATACGGCAATATATATTCGAAGATTTAACATTTAATACGTACTTTTATTTTTTCTGCTCCTCCCCCCCTCTCCCCCGCTCTTTTTAGACCACACGGGCATAGTCTGGCATAGAGATGGCAGAGACTGTCATTGCAGCACGGACATAAACCGCCTGAAAGTGGATGTAGCATGGACTTCCACCATATGCAGATTTTACCACCGAGACCTGAAAGTGGATGTACTATCGTAGTTCCCCTCTCAAAATGGATGCAGATGGCGTCCTTTCCCAGTGCGGAAAGTCGGTGTCGCAGAAAATGTCGTATTGGCCGCTCTCAGGTTACTCTCTGCTCTTACTATAGGAACTCTACGGCAACCCACACGCTCAGAGCCATCTATTGAATTGAATTGAATTTAATTTAATGCACCAGTGCAGCGGTGCAGAATAAAAGAACAGACCATTGATGACAATGAAATCTAATCTATTTTTTTTTTCGAAGATCTTTTTAAACTGAAACACATGGTCACTGACGGCTTCACTTGCTTCACAACTGGCTTTGCTGGTTAGCCTCGCACCAATGACATCGCCCCGCGGGCGGTTGCGAAGCAAGTGAACCAGGATAGCCCTTTCCAAGCTTCTTTCTGCTGATATAGGAAATACGCTATTTCGTGATTCTCTAATAAAGTTACAAATTTTTTACTAACAATAATTATAAGAAATTTATAACAAATTTTGATCAATCAGGTAGTTTTGTTCACCAATACAGGAACGCGTTTATATATCTCTCTCTTTCCCGTTCTCATCGTATCTTTACATTATTTTTATTACTTTCATATCAGTATAACTTAGATTTAATAAATTTAAGTTAAAATAAATGTATGTATATAAATTGTAACTTAAAATAATTGTATACTAAAATAAGCAAAGTCATGTTTTATATATATATTGTATATAATCACATATCTTTGCATATCAAAGAACTACTCTGTGTAATGTAGATCTTTTAGTTATTCCTAGATTCTCTATATACGTTTTATGCGTAAATATCTGTACATACTAAAACGAGAAAGGACTTTTTTAGGAAACTAAAATTAATTTATAATTAGTGATGTATCTTAACGATAAATTCTAAATCTAGCCACACTTTGAAACACCTTGAATACAATTAGATGTAAATAAAAATAGCAATCTATTGCATTGTGTAACTTTAATTCTCAAGTACTCGTATTGGATCAATTTTACAAATAAGCTTTAAAAGTTTAACTTTAAGTCTGCTGAATAGGAAGGAATAATTCATCTTGCTAACACGTATCTCTACTCGCACGAGTACTTAAGGCTTAATTATAAAAGCAGAATATAAAATCGGAACGTAAGTAGGTATCGATTATTCCATAAAAATAATAATTGTATATCGCAATAGTTAGATGTGTAAATATTATTTTTGTCATGTGTATCCGGATCTCAATTATTCATAGTATTTTGTGTGACGAAATGAAATGTAATGAGATGTTTTACACGCGCTTTTTCCTTTACGTTTTTGACACCATTGTATTTGTTTCAGTGCAATTGTAAATATGCCAGAAATAATGCCAATGCATTTACCCAATTTTATACATTTACATTTTCGTTAAATGACATAGACCCAACCAACTTAGCAAATAACACAATTCGACTTTTCTTGTACATTTCCATTAGCTTTCTCGATCTCGATCAGTAACGTGTGAAAAATATCTGCAACAGACTACGGAAGGAAAAATTGACATATAAAAATTTCCAATAAAAACTTATGAAACAAGATCTCATTGTCTTATTTATTACCTCATTTTGCTTCGCACTGGTTTCAAGAAACGCCGCATTCCAGGAATTTGCTAAGCGCTTTCCTTGATCTGTCGTGATCATACGATCTACGTATAGATCTGTTTTGTTGCCCACTAGTACAATTGGGACACTATGGACAATATTGTGATCTATACTTTGTTCCTCTTTCCAGCAAAAAAATACGAACATCAAATGTTTCGTAATAATGAAAACTTACTGTAGCTTTCCAGTGATGTCGAGAAGCTTGTCATAAATAATTTGTACAATTTCAAAACTCTTTGCACTGGTTATGCTATATACCAGGACATAGCCATGGATGTCCATTGAATACTGAGTGGGAAATATACTATATTCATCTTGACCAGCTGTGTCTACTAACTTAAGTTCATAGTCTTGACTATTTACTCGTGTACTTTTTGTAAATGCTACAATATACAAAGAATCTGTTAATACCTAATTATTTAATGTAATCTGAGCATTTACAAATATATCATTAAAATCCAAGAAGAAAATAACGATACAATAATGATATCTCTTACTATTTTCTATTGTAGGGTCATACGAGTCCACAAATTGTCCTTCCACAAACTGTATGCTAAGAGAGGATTTACCTGTTAAAAATTTAATGCATATTAAGATATCGGAAAAGTCACTAATAAATATACATTGGCGCTCATGTGTTATCTTATATCAATCACTCATAACAACATTATGAGAATTGTCTATAAAAACAAAAAAATACCTGTAAAATATACAAGTATAATTATTAAAAATTAATCATACCTACAGATCTGTAGCCCATAATAGCTATTTTCCTCTGCTTGGGCGGCATGTTTTAGCATTTACAAACTGAAAGGCAGCAAGGATATTTGATGAAAGCTGGTGCATAATCCAGTTAAAACCTGTAAATAACAGGAAACTTTGTGTGACCGCAGAGTTTCCTTATTATTAGATACATAAATGTTCCAAAGCCGTCTATTGTGAGGCACTGTATTTTACATTCATAGCAATGTTACTATGTGATACTCTTCTCACTGACGAAGGACAACAATATAACAGCTGATATTGTAATGTAAACGAGTTCAAACGCATCGTTTACTTGATATTTATGTTCTAACGACGTAACGACAATCGAAACAGAGAGAGAGAGAGGAGAAAGAGAGAAACAGAGAGAGAGAGAGGAGAAAGAGAGAAACAGAGAGAGAGAGAGAGAGAGAGAGAGAGAGAGAGAGAGAGAGAGAGAGAGAGAGAGATCGAGTGGAAGAGAGAGAGAAGAAAGAAAGAGAGAGTCACAGTTACACACTGCTTGCGCCTGCGAACAATCTGTCTTTAACCGCGACACCGTTTACACAAGCAATGCTTTCCTATATTGGCGAAACTATCCTATACACGTTTATCGTCCGTTCACCCGCCGAGCGAAAATGATCGACGTTTATTACTGACGACAGAATGCGACAGATGTGCTGTCCACTTGCGACGCGAGAACATGACGGTGTATATATCGACGATCGCTGCGTACAGATCGTGAGTGAGAAAAGGAGAATAAAAAGAAACAGACGATACACGCGTATACGGCGGAGGTGCGTCTTACATCGGTACACGACGATCCTGGATTACAAGGCGGCGGTGGCGACGTTCCCGAGGAATTGCGCATAGATCGACAACACGGGAGTCACACCGCCCCGTAGAAAAACAAATACGTTCCCAACTACTAATTCCCAACTACGCACTGTTTAATGCACGTACGGATGCACGCGTTTGCAATGCCCGTGGGGCGACAGAGAGGGAGACAGGAGAAGGAGGGAAAAAGAGAGAGAGAGAGGGGAGAGAGAGAGGGAGAGAGGGGGAGAAAAAGAGAAAGATGACGTCAATGATCGTACAGGCTACGTCTCGCTTTTGCTGATAGCGCACTCCGCCGTATCATTACGCGTGCATTTCTGAGCCACGCACGGACACGACGCACCGGATGTCCGTGGACTTGTCCAACTTCTAACGCGAGCACATCCGCGAAGGCGAACGCTCTTCTGCGGTTGCACCTTTCACGCTTCTCATACACGACCCCTTTCCTTTCTTTCAAAGCTCAATTTTATATATTTTATGTTGAGCGTAAAAAGTACGCGTCAGTCGGGTGCAATGAGATGACTCTGATTTACACGAGTGTAGAACAGAGCAATCAGCTTTCAATCTATTTTTCAGATCGCCAGCCGTACTTCAGCAGAAAGAGAATGTTAAAGACCGAGTGCGGAATCTAGAAGCACAATAATTAATGCCGGCGGTATAACCAGAATTGGTTATAAATCGAGTAAAAATGATAATTATCAGCATACTAAAACGCTCCGTATCGTATGTAGCAGAGAGGAACCTGAGAGTGGCCCACACGGTGTTTTCGGTGACACCGACTTTCCTCCGCGTATTAGAGACCCTAGAAGTATTTCTTTTGTTAGAAGTAATAGTTTTATTCGTAAGATAAAATTCGTAAGTAATTGCAGGACGATATTGGTATGTAAATATTTGTTAAAGTATTTTACAATAAATTAGAATGAGAAAAAATAAAATTTTCTCACTCGTTGCCAATTGATCACTCGAGGAACGTTCCCAAACATTTCGTCGGGGGAAAATCAATAATTCCCTGTACGAGCGGCAATCCGCATGCTCATGAAATCTCTGCCTGCAACGTTACAAACGTTGACATACATACGGGTCTTGAAGATATGAACGAGCGAGTCTGGCTGTAGGAAAAGATAGTCCGATATGCAATGGTTGGCCAACGGGGAGGTTATTCTTGATGCTGTGACAGTGTTCGATCATGTTAAACCAGAGTTGACAAAAGATTGACAGCTCACACTGTAGTTCGATTTCATCTGATTTAGTCCATATTTAGTTAATATTCTTTGCGCGCGTAAATATATATGTATGTATACATATATGGGCCACGTTTCACCCGCTTATTGTAGTTTCTTTTTTACGGTATTATTTTATTATCTCGTCCGCACGACTGTCCACCTAGCAATTTGCGACCTGTTCGTCATTTGACGATATGATGCCAAACACGGACGTTTATGACAATTTGTACCTGTGAGTATCCATATTTTTACGATACATTGTCAGTATCCGACATCAAGTATACGCTCGATAAAGTTGTTAACTCAATATTTCGAACTAATTGTTAATCTTATCTGTCATCTGAAGGTACGTCACTCCGGAGAAGTTTTTTGTGGAGCCGGTTGGGACCAAAGTCCTGCTAGTGGTCGATAGAGTGAGCGAGCAGATTTATACGCAAGGTTAATTAATAGCTGACTGTTTGCCTTCTGTGTTAATCAAGCGAATTAATGGCAAATTTACATTCTTGTCGCAGCTGGCACAGCTAGTCAAATTCCAACAACTGCCAGCCGCCGTAAGATATGGGGATTGGTGGGAACTATACGCCTCTTGGCGTGTCGTTACCTCATCGTCATTATGGACGCTCAAATGTGCGGCACTATAGCGGGCCATCAGATTTTCAGAATATCCTCAACCGACATGATACCTTACTCAAGGTCATCTCTCCACTTGACCTTAAAGGAAATTCAAAGTAATTCCACATACATGGAGATGATAAAGTCTGTCTTGAATACACCGCACTTTTACTTCAGCTACACCTATGATCTCAGCCACACCATGCAGAGACTTCATAACACAACACCTGAGTTCTTACAGGTAAATATGCGTACGTTGGAACACAAGTCTATAATTACTCTGTATGATATCACAAATAAGCAGGATGACAATAGAACCATGTCATTATCTAGATGCCGCTTCATGACAGAGCAGATCCTAGGTTCGTGTGGAATGCCTACTTGTTGCAGGACCTAAGTGCCAGACCAGAGCAGTACAAGTTCTGCTTACCCATTATTCACGGCTGTATCCTTTGATATATGTGCACACGTGCAGTGAATTCGAAATGATGCACATGGTCCTTCCATGACCTTAACGTTGAAATCTATGCAGTCATCTCGCTAAACACGGTGGTCGTGAATGGCATAGCGTTCAATTGGGGTATCGTCTCTAGACGCGGTATACATCGCGCTGGCACGAGACTGTTCTCGCGTGGTATAGATTCCACCGGGAACGTTTCCAATTACGTGGAGACGGAGCAGCTGGTCGAGGTGAACGGTGATCGTAGTTCCTTTGTGCAGACGCGCGGATCAATTCCTCTGTTTTGGTATCAAGCGCCGAACTTGAAGTACAAGCCGAAGCCGCAGATAAGTCCTCACGAGGACCATCAGGGCGCTTGCGCTCGACATTTCGATGTACAGATCTTTCATTATGGAAGACAGATTTTGGTAAATCTGGTGAGTTTGCTTTCTCTCTCGTATTACGTAATTAATTGACTGTTGCTCAAAATTAGGGGATCACTTAAAGTAGCCATATTTCATCCGATGGATGTGTCATATATCATATATTTTCCTTATCTAATCTCAATCTCTTAATGGATATATATGTACATAAGTTCGACATCTTAGATATTCACTCTTTTTTTTTTTCTTCTTTTTAACTAAAAGATTAAAACCATCGAAAATTAAAAAAGTAAATTAATTAAAAAAAGCTTCACTTGTTAATGATCCACTAAGGAATGTTCGCGCAAACGTGAACATTATTAATGTTTCGAGCAGATCGATCAACATGGACCTGAAGCTCTTCTCGAAGAGGCATATCGCAATTTAGTCCAAAGAGTCAACAACCAAAACGTTCGATACGAGGCTTTCGATTTTCACGCGGAATGCCGAAGATTGAGATGGGATAGATTGAACAATTTAATGGACCGATTAACGCACGATCAAGAACAGATGGGTTACTTCCTGTTGATGAGGGACGGTGCGTTGCTCTCGGTTCAGGACGGTGTTTTCCGTACAAATTGTATTGACTGCTTGGATCGGACGAACGTTGTGCAAAGCATGCTGGCTAAGCGAGTTCTCAACGAGGTATTGAGCAGATTGGAAGTGCTCAGGAAGGTGGAAGATCATCCTGCGTTTGAGAATCTTTTCAAACAGGTGCTAATGATGTTAGATCATGTTCTCAAACAATATAATGGAATCACAATCTTCTCTTGGTATTTCCAATATTTAGTATCTTTTAACACATCTTTGCTACCATCTTCTATTAAGCCGTCCTCCACGGATTCTATGTTTTTTTATTTAACAGGCTTAATTTAGACGTAGAGTAAAAAAATTATCACTTGATAACAACAACGATGCAAGTGTTACGCATCGAAAGAGATTTTTCTTCGAAATTTTTCTTCTCAGGTCTGGGCCGATAACGCAGATGTAGTGAGCATACAATATTCCGGCACAGGTGCGCTGAAGACGGACTTTACGCGCACCGGCAAACGCACTAAACTGGGTGCTATGAAAGACGGTCTAAACTCGCTGACGAGGTATTACAAGAACAACTTCGCCGACGGATTCAGACAGGTAAGTGGAGAATCTTTCGGAGAAATTGTCGAGTATCTGTCTCCGATGAGACTACAATTACGTCTCGTGTCGCGTAGGATTCGCTGGAGCTCTTTCTGGGCCGCTACATCGTCCAGGACGGCGAGTGCACCACCGTGCAGTGTCCCTTGGAGTCCGAGCGAAACTGGCGTTACGCTACATTCCCGCTTGTCCTCATGGTCGCATCCTCGATGCTGATCGCGCACGTAATCTTGCCGTCGCGTTACACAACGGAAGTCTTGTTGTACATGCTGTTCTGGGCCGGCATGGTAGCTGGCACCTTCGCTACGATTATCCATCACGGCAAGCAATACGTCGACAAGCCGAAATTACTCTAGATACGGTTCTACGATGTCAAATTATGTATATTATGCGATGCAGCAATGATGTGCGATAAGCGCGTAGAATTATCATTTGGTTAATCATCGGTCAAAATCTCGGCTCTCGTATCATACGAAAATAGGTAGATTTCATCGTGTGACATACTAACGACGCTTATTCACCGCAAATTAACATTGTATCAAGGTGATTAATGTGTATGTGTGCGCATGCACACGTTACATTTCCATTTCCGCAATTCGATATTGCTGGTGTCCGCATTTCCGTAACACCGACTGAAGGAGGTCGTCGTCCTCGTCGAGTGGCATTTTTATTTGCGGTACAGGGTCTACGCGAGAAGTGTCGGTGTCTCATTATTATGTTATTATGCCACGGCGATTTTTGCACTTTCCGCATAATAGGTGTAGTAGAGTAACACAGTTCTCTCAGAGTTTCGTAACGAGCTCTTGTAACATATTATAGAGGCTCGAGCCTCTAGTCTCTCCGGCAGCGTTTGCGTGTGTGATCAGGGCGGCCGCGAACAAAGCCAGACCGCAAAGAACGTGCTTGGGTGCCCACCGTCCATAGATAACCATCTGCAGTGTGAGACCGATTTGTCAGACGGGAGCAGACTAATGAATACAGGCTGTACCGGGGATTGAAAGAATCGTTTCCGATCTCTGTGATTTTTGTTGGTCGTTGGAACTTTTGTAAAGTTGGAACCTTCTGCGTACAGATATATATTCGTTGTTGTCTCTTTGAAATATTTTGCGATCTTGAAAAATAAACATTTCCTGTTTAATATCTCTCTGTTTGCAGAGTTTTTATATTAGAATTATGTCATGTTTATACCTTTCATTTGAAATATAATATTTCTCACGGTTTAAAAGGATATAGGTAAATCACAAGAATAATTTTATAATAATGATTTACAAATAGTACCACGATAGAATTTATATTTATTTCCAAATATAAACTATTCATATCCAAATATAGACTATTCATTTTTATTAATTTTGTATTTTATAAATCAACTGTACGGAAAAGATTCCAACATATCGCTTTCGGTGGAACCTTTGTTTATGAATCACACACGAATATAATCAGTTTCCTAAAAGTATAAAATAATGCAGAAAAATAATTAAAATCTTGGTGTGAACGAAGGTTCCATATATATGAACAACATGAACTTTTTCGTAATAAATCTTAGTCTAATTGTACATTCTCTTTCAATTGACTATTCGTTATCGGAAAGTAGAATAAACCTGTGAAAGTTTTCAAAAAGGCTTTATAATTAAATAAGCTCGTATAAACGAACCGAATGCATCACTTGTTTGTACGGGTATTCGTGATTCGCAAAGTGCTTCGTATAAAGTAGAACCTAACGTTAAGTCAGAAGCCAAACCAGAACGTACGAATTTCCGTAGATACAAAATTATGAAAGCCAAAGCGCATAACGTTTTTAGAATATATAATATATATATATATACATATATATATTATATATATATTATATATATTATATATATATATTATATATATATTATATATATTATATAACGCAATTTTATGAATTAACATCTATGTAGATGTAAACGAGGAATATATCACGCATTGAGAGAGTATTTTTTAATATTTCAGAGGTACGCCGCCGTTAACAAGAAAAAGAAACCTTAAGTAGACGGCGGGGTTTATCCGTCGACAAGTGTTAATAATTATTCCTCTTGCGGATTTTCGAACTATAATATGATGTTAATAATAAATAGGTAAATTATACAGTCAAGCACTGTACAATCTTAAAACGTTATAATTATTGATCCTTATCATGAATTAATATTAATTATAAATATTTAAAGTACAAGGAAAATAGAATATTTGAATATACATAATACATATAACGTTTATTAAAAACCTGCATGTAATCATATAGAATAATATACAGCAGATTATTTAATATAATTTAATATAAAAAAAATTAATAAATATTAGATTAAATATAATTTCATTATAATCTCTAAGCTCGATTTTTCTCGATATTGCATAATATTTCAGCCTAAAATTTTTATAAATCTATTAAATTGCCGCGAATAATTTGAGATGAGAGAATTGATGTTTTATTTACAAATACTTTTATCGTATATCGCAACAGTCAGTTGGCATTTATAAAGCTTTCGAAAAATAAATGCATGATTATATATTATTACAATATCAGTTGATGTGCGCGGAGACGAAGATATACACATTCGTACAAAATGCACAAGAGATTCTCGCATAAGCGTTGCTCGCGCGAATAAGAGATACGCCGATAAAGTACATTATAAACCTTAATATCCTAATTAACAATTTAACAATATGTATATAGAAAAATCCATCGTGTACCTATCGAAGAGCGAAGCGAGCCCATCGTCTCGTACTCCCGTTAGGATACATCGCTTGAGAAAGGCCTCTTTCTTTAGAATAATTTGTTGTTATTTACAAAATTTACATATGCTTCTGCTCACTTTTCTTCTTGAGTATCTGATCCACAATTTTGCGATAACGTATCATCATTGGTTTGTAGATCTAAAAGAAAATCGATTGAAAGATCATCGATCACGATGACAAAAAATCGCGAAAAGTTTAATTTAAAAAATTTATTTTTATATATATATATATATATATTTTCTTTTTTCTGTTTCAACTTACGGATTCAGCGTCGTCGTAAGGCTGGCACACGAGAGTCAGTTCTGGCAAGCAACGAATGATCTCGTCAAAACTGCAGCTTTCCCGAAACAAGCCATGTTTCGCTCGATATGCTGCTCCCATCATAGCCGAGTTAGCTGCTTCCTATTGTGAGATTGCGACGTGTCCGATAAGAATAAAATAACTGACGAATTATTATCGCTGTACACCTACCAAAACGTAGACTGGAGAATTGAAAACGTCAGCGAGAACTTGTAACATAGCTTTGTTGGTGGACGCGCCTCCCGTTGCGATTACCCGCGTGTTAGGTCCTACGCAAGGAAAAGGAAGAAAAGACTCAAGTTCTCGATGGTACAACAACAACAACAACAACAACAAGAGGCGATGTACGATGGCGATGACAGATCCGCGAGAGAAAGAAGGACTCACCGACGACAAATCCAAAGTCCTCGGCGTGCGCTCTCTTCGCGACGAATTGACCTTCGATCAACGCTCTTACTTCCACTTCCTTCGAGCTGTACCGCCAAACCTCGTCGTTGGCCTTGTTGTATCTGTAATCCCCGATCACAAAGGGCAGGATCTCTTGCATGTCAAAGTACAGAGCGAAGTTGCCAAAGTTCCCTCGCGGTGTATTATCCAGCAACTCGTTGAATATCCTCCAGCAGCCCTGAGCGGCTTCGTTCCGTATTCTCTCGCGCGTCAACGAACCGTTCTTGAAGCTGCGCAAACATATAACAACCGTAAATCGTCAGCATCATGCCTGTGCCGTCATCGCGCGCTCACAAACCGGGCAAACGCGCGTCGCTTACCAGAGCAACGCCATGTAAGCCTGATCGTCCACGGGATTGCACAATACGTGACCGTCCGTTGTGGCTTTGGGCTCGTTCAGCCACAGGAATAGGGTGTCGCTCGTGCCCAAACTGCAAGCGATATCACCTTGTTTCAGCTTCATACCTACGTATCAGTTTTCACCGTCAGAGCAATTGTTCGCACGCGAGACATTCCCGCTGCTAATGGAGAACCGCCGTCGGGTTTATATACGCGCAGCATTACATACCCACCAGGGAACTTGGATTGTCGCCGGTGAGCGCGATAATCCGGCATTTCTCGTTGAAGCCGAATCTTTCCACAAAATAAGGCGAGATCGGGCCGATGTCGCTGCACGATGAGACAGGCTCGCCCAGTTTCTCTCTCAGCCCCGACGCGCAAGTCTGTCGAACACGTAATACGTTAAACACAATGCGCCCACGTTGAGCGCAAACACGCGTGCACGCGCGTGCAATAACTGGAAGAAAACAGCCTCAACGCGCACGGTATAATTGAGTTAACAGTATTTTACAACCGCGCGCGTCCGTTTCTCGACATTAACGTAAAGCTGCCGCCTCGACGACAGGTCGTCCTCGCATCTTCGTAGTAATCGATATTAAATTGCACGTCGTTCAGTTTAGTCAATTCTTAACGCGCTTGGGGAGAAGTCACTCCTTACATGTGACTTGCGGTAGCGGTAACGCGGTTACTCGCCGAATCGATGATACGCTAAAAAAAATGCCGACAACACAGAGTCGCATTGTTTGTCTGACGACTCGTAATTTTACCTCCAGCAGCATATCGTCCCAGTCTTTGGTGCGGATATTCAACAGATTCATGCCCGAGCCGTCCGCCCAATCGATGGGCGCGTAATCGCCCAGGAACAAGGAGGCGAGGAAGCTGCTCACCAGCGAGATTCTCTGCATGCGGAGGAGAATAAAGCGTGTGAGAGCGATAATGTCACTCGGCTCGCGTGCGTTTCGGAAGCGGCGCGTGACGCACGCACGCGGCTTCGATCATCGAGATATAATTAGAAGCATTAAATCACACACGATTACGGTTACGTCGGAAGAGGATCCTCCGACGCGAGCCGCTCGAAGTGTCATCGAGAAGACACGCGCGCGTTTGTTTGCGCGTCGCGAGGCGGTGAACGGCGGTGGATCTGTGTGCGAATTCCCGACTACTGATTGTTATAACGAAGCCACAATAGCGTTACACGCACATTCACACACACACACACACACACACACACACACACACACACACACTTCGAAACCAAACGACAAACTCAGAGAGAAGCGGCACGTTGCAGCGGAGCGGTAACGGTAAACAGTGATAACAGAAAAACTCAATCGGCAAAACTGGAATTCGTTGACACAACGAATACCTCGCAACGCTTGATCGCCCCGCTCTCGTTTCTTTGTTCTTTCTTTCGAGTCGAAGGAAGCGGCGAGTGTTTATTAGTGAGTATACCTCAGTGTTGCAGTAAGCTTCCGGCTTGGTGCGCGCTATTTTCGCTATCTGCGGCCCCGAGAACCTTTCGTATGCGCGTGAGCCCGTTATCTCCGCCAATCTCTGGAATCATCATCGAACTTATGGGTATACACACGTGGAGAATTTCTCAGAGAGCTGTTAACATTCGTTAACACACTGACCAAGTATACCGTACTAGCTTGTAACATGTTTGAAGCTGTTTTTACGAAAGAATAGGTGTCAATAAGGCCGTTTTTTGGGTTGGCTTTTCGATTGGCTTGATACTGTGAGAAATGATTACCGTTGACGTATCTCACAGTATCATTTTTACCATTGAAAAAAGTTTTCAGGCTTAACCAGCACAATCCGGTGCAACTTCCAAAATTTCGAAAATGTAAAAAAAAAGAATTTTTGACCCTTTTTGCCAATTTTTTATAACCCCACCTTCGTTGCAAGCCCAGTCATCACCATTCTCATTATCAATATTATTATTAACGCTGTTGTGTGAGATTTGCGACATTACAACTGCCACGGGATAGTCGGGAGAAATATAAATATCTTTGTTACACTCTAGTCTAAAGCGACCTCTTCGAATATCTGGCCGACTCGCTCCTCTCTTCCTTATTTTTCACATTAGTTACAACGTCGGTCGGTCGCTCGCGAACGTACTTCGCGCCACGGAAGATAACTCGCCGCGAAACTCGCTGCTGCCCAATCAACGTGTTTGAGTTTACAGGAACTTTAACGTATCCGATCAGACTCGCGTTTGTGTATCTCGCCTCGTCGCGAGAGAAGTAGCAGGTACGATCTATCCTCTCTCTCTCTCTCTCTCTCTCCGTGTAGACAAGTCAGGGAATGCTTACGTGAGGGCCGCCCACGATCTCCTCCAAAACGCTACATTCCTTGGACGTGCTGGAGTCCATCCACACGGGCGAATGGGTCACGGAAAACGACGTGGCGAATTGCTCGTGCAAGAATTTGATGGGGTCCAAGCGCTGCAAGCGATCCCGGCTGCCTTTGCCCCAGTAAACCGTGCCATGTTGCTGTGATTCAATCATCAAGGTGTGCAATGCGATATTGCACGTCGCTTGTCACTGAGCTTTGCGAGTAATTTGTCTTACTCTCGAAGCATCCAGCCGCTCTCGAAATTTCCTCGAGTGAAAGTCCGTTCGGAAAACGGAGTGACAGTCCGGTCGCTCCGAGTCGAGTAACTTTTTTTCGTGTCGAGTGAATACTCCACTCTGAATCGCCGAGTGAACGTTCGTATTCGAAAGTAAAGATAAATCCCACCGCGGCGCGGCGGCGTACTCTATCGTCGCACAGCAAAGTCCCAATTACCTCCTCCTCATGACGATTCTCTCGAAAAATTGTCGAGAGATCAAGCTTGACTCGTCACTCGCTTTTTTCGCGGGGATTTCACTCTCGGTAACTCAGAGCGCCTATTACCTGCGCGCATCCCGAAATGGCCGCTACTTTGCTAAAATCCACGCCGCACACGCGTAATTTGTCGAGTATCATGTCTAAGGCCTTCACCCACATCAGGGAGGGCACCACCGCGACGTGAGGCACCTCTTTGCTCTGTATGACTCCTCCGTAGCTTCTGCAACGTTAGAAAGTGAGCGAACCCGCAAAGAGGATCAAGCTGATCGCAAGTTGGGCTCTCGCTCGGACGTACCTAAACTCCGGTAGATCATTGTCGAATTGCACGCTGGTCTCGTGAAGCACGGCGAGATCATCGTCAACCACCACAGCTTTCAGCTAAAATTAGATCAAACGTCAGGAGGCTCAATGAAGGGAGAGAAGTGATCTCGGCCGAAGTGAGTGGCCGGAGCGCGTTGATCAGCGCGCGTTCACCGCACCGACATTCGCTTTCGCGCGATGAAAAATTCCCAAATAAATCCACGCCGCCGCGCTGTCCAGTCCAGTGTGTGTTTATTTTCTCGTTTGTGAGTTTACCGACGATCGTGATCGATCGCCTCGTACGCGGACGCGCGCGCTCGCGCATCGCCAGACGGCTTCTCGAAAATATCTCTCGTAACTGTACGTGCAGATAAACGAGAATAATATCGTGGCGTAACAGTGCAATAGAGGGACGTGCACTAACACGCAGCTATTTATATTATCGCGCTGGTGCAACGCGGTACTTGTAAGTTAGATCCTCGCACGCGCGCGCTCTTTCTCTCTTCGCCGCCCTCTCTCCTCTCCTCTTGCCGCTTCGTTCTCTCTCTTTCTCTCTCCCTCCGTCTTCGTCTTTCTCTCTCTCTCTTTCTCTCTCTCGCTCCGTCTACCGCATTTTTACGGTAATATGTCAAAGTGTGCCCCCGCGATATTAATTATCGAGAGGCTCAATATTCCTATCGCGTCGCACTTTTGCCGCTTCGCGCGATAGCGCTTCTCTTCGCGCGTATCTGCTGACGGCGCGTGTTATCGCGCTATTAGATAATAGTGACCCGGCGAATAGACGTCTGAGCGCCTCGCCGAGCGCCCCGGACTCGACTCGCTCTCGCTCGTGTTTTCTGCGTAGAACCGCGGAATACCTTGCGAAACGATGCGTCGCGTCGGACAATGTTTTCAAACACGCGACACGCGCGCCGAGAAAACTCTCATGTCGCCCGTATTTCCGGAGCAAGTGGGAATCGAGCCGTTGCGACGAAAACAGAAATCAAGAAGTAGAATAAAGAAAAAAACGAAAAAAACAGCGGTCTTTGATATTTGCGCTCAGTGAGTGATGCAATTGAGGCTAAATTAAAGAAAAGAATAAATAAATATCGAGAGAGATCTCGCGAGCGTTTTAATATCCGCGCTCGACGAATTACACAATCGAAACGAAGCTAAGCGGAGACACTTTAACGATCGATTCGGGTCTCTTCGTCGGTTCGAGCAAATCGGCTGAATTACGGCGCAAAATATTACGATGGAACACGACGTTCTTCACGAAAGTTCGTGCGTTCTCACGGAGCCAATTAGTACCGCGGCCGCGCAACACACACTCGCTCCTTTTTTGCCAGTAATCTCCTCGGTAATACCGTTCTGAGGAAATGAGATCTGTATCGCGTGCATCTGTTCGATCTAATTACGAATATCCGAGCGCAGCCGGGAGTCGAGTGTCGCGAGCCTAATTGGAAATTCTCCCGCGATTCTTGATCACGAGAGAGAGAGAGAGAGAGAGAGAGAGAGAGAGAGAGAGAGAGAGAGAGAGAGATCGCCTTTTCTTCGGAACGGAAGTGACCGACGCGAAGTTCTCGCGGCGCCAATTTGCAACGATGCGAGTGCCAATGTGTACAGGATGAGTCAACCTAACGTTAGATTCCAAAACCAGAGTAAAATTCGTAAAGAATGAGTCGTACCGTTGGAATGCGGGCCACATTTGCCTCTTCCAACCACACAATTTGTGTTTCTCCAACCTTTTCTCCTCTGACGTAAAAAAAGAAAAAAAAAAAAAAAAACAACAAACACCTCAGAAGCTAACATTAGATGATTCGCTCGGTATATCCTGCGTCTCTTCGTTATCGCGAGTCCCCACATAAACATGACTGTCGCGTCATCGATGTGCCGATTCACCGAAATCTGATTTCATTCGCGCCAATTTCGACTTCGTCTGTCTCTTTCGGAAAAAGCGCGTAACGCCGCGCGCTTCGGATCAATCAGATCCTTGCGATTCTTCGTCGTCTCTCGCCCGTCATTCTCGAGGAACGAGAACGATTGACGGTCGAGCGTCTATCGACGACTATCGATGAACTTAGGAAGGCGGGTTCCAAAAGAATAAGAAAGAAGACGACAAAATAAGTCCGGATCGCTCAGTCGGCTGATCCGCCGAGTTGTTGACCTCCGGCGATCTTACGTTCCAGCACTTTTACCGTTCCAGCCTGGCATCGGCCAGTGTTGGCCGTGCTGTTTGCGTGTTTCTCTTCCTATTTCCGGGCAAACACGCAGCCGACGTACTTGAAAAAGCGATCTCTGATCTCCGATCTCAGCGGCCGCACGCGCTGCCACGTCGTCCGCTCTAGCCCGCGCTGTCAACCCACGTTGACGACTGTCACCGGGGACACAAGAAGACTGCGACGAATCGACGCATATACACACACACACACACACACACACGCGCGCGCGCGCGCGTACACGTGCACACCGCTTCTGCAACTCGATTTTTGAACATGTCTCGTCGCGCGTCTTAGCAGTGAGCCACGACTGCGAGAGGAGTCGCTTATCAGTCGCCGCGCGATTTTACCTGCTGCGTGCTCAAGTCCAGGCCCAGGTACGTCGCTGTCGACGGCTCCGCCGCGTCCATGGTCTCTTTCGGTGTCTACCCTCGTGTAGCGTGGTACAAATCAGCTGTGGGATCCTCGTGGGGATCTTCGTAGGCTCGTCGGCAGGAAGACACACACGAGACCGCCGTGACGACACTCGCTCGCGGCGGCGTGTCTGCGCGCCGCTTTGCTACACGAGAAACTAAGTGCGAGCGAACGCGCCAGCCTGTGCGTGGCCCACGTACATCCTCGGCGTGACCAGACGTCGTCGTCGTCGTCGTCGTTGTCGTCGTCGTCGCTGCCGCCGCCGTCGTCGTCGTTGTCGTCGCGGTCGCGGTCGCGGTCGTTACTTTACGCGCTGTTTCGCGCGTACGCAACGTGACCTGCCAGGAGAATCTTATCGTGCTTTCTACACTGAGCGAGGCTGGCCCGCCGTTATGTAACGCGCTCTCGCCGGATCCGCTTGGAAATCGCTGGCGCGACTACGCCGGGCGATACTGTGCCCCGGACACGTTGCCTCGCGTATCTCCCCGGAATCGACATCAGCCTGAGGTAAAGCGGTCACGTCGCGGCGGAGGCGGCGGACGTGTCAGGGCGCAGGTCAGGTAAGAGGAGAGTGGATATCACGCGAGAGCTGCTTTACCGACACCTTGCGTAGGTGTATCACCTGCGGCCCTCACCTGTCTTCAGCTGCAGCTGCGACTGTTATCCGAGGAGCTTGGCGAGAAGTGGCTTGGTGGGTAACCCAGGTCGTCGCGACGGTGAACGGAAAATCCGAGCGAGAGTGCGTCCTCGTCGATCCTGAGAGGAGCGGCGGATCCTGAGGGGGAAGGATTTTCCCGGGAACATTGCCGAGATGTCGCTTGTCTTAGAATCGCGCGAGCGACTGGAAGCGCGCCAGTTTCTATCAACGTCGATTAAATATTGAGCTGAGTTCGAGTCTGAACGGAGCTTTTAAGCTCAAGGTTCGATCGACCTTGCTGGGAACGGACGTCAGCGGCGTAATAAACGGCAAAGTCTTGTTGCCGGATCAAAACTGGAATGTCTTGGAATGAAATTTTACTCGAGCTCGAGCGAGATTCTTCATTCGCGCACAGAGCGAATTCTCCGCTGCTGAACTGCCGGGCGAGTATTTTCACGCGGTATTGAAGGACATTTTCGCTTGGCTTTCGATCGATTGAAACGTTCGCACATCAGCAGGTAGAATCCGCTCTGAGCTCGAGTGAGGCTCTTCGCTCGTTTTCAATGAGACGCCACTCGAAAAAATTCAGAGAGTATGCCTCGAGAGGATTCGAGTCGTCGCGGACTTGAAGCGGAAGCTCCGTCAGGATTTTCTTCGACTGCTGGAAGATTACGAGAGAAGATTCCCGTCTTTGTTCCGTCTCACTCAATGAGTGACGAAGAGACAGGATGACGCTCGCGTCGGCCTGCGTCGCTACATGGGAAGCACTGTCATGAAGTTATAAACAAGAGGCGATGGCGGCGATGCTAATCGAGTTCCTTTGCCTCAGCTGCAGATTATACATCGCGTTATTTCCCCTCCTCTCTCTCTCTCTCTCTCTCTCTCTCCCCCCCCTTTCTCCCTCCCCCTACCTCCTTTCATTTAAGTAGGGTGCGGAGCGTCTCGGCACTTTGCCTGAGGCATAAATACTCGAAAGATAAAGGGCCTGACGGGGATTCAAGCGCCGGGGTTGCTGGCGGTGGTCCTGGTAGCGCGTTGCAAACGACGAGGGCCGAAGAGAGGCAGAGATTGTTAGCCGGTACACGCAGTGTGCGCGAGTTTGTTTGCGTAGTTGAGGACCGTATGTGCCGGCGCACGCAGGGCGGGGAACATCTACGCCGGGGGTGCCGCGCCATGGGCGTCAAAAGCGGCATTCTCGAGACGAGAGGCAACCGCGAGATCCCGCTGAAAACTTTCCACGGAGGTAACAAGATCGACGCGTCGAAAGATCCGACGAATTCCTGGTATCGAGATCACTTTGGATTCGGCAGATTTCCCGAACACTCTCCCATTGACTTTCCCGTGGTAGGCACCTCCGTTCCCCTCCCCCCACTAACGCGTCTCGTCCGCTCATTTTCGCGGAGACTCGCCGGGGGATTTCGTCAACAAGTTTTGCTCGCGCGATCAATTTCCACGAACGAAACGAGGAATGCGCACACGTCCCTTCTCACAGGCGCCTATGGATCTAGCCGATGCCTGTTTGTCGGTCCCGTTGCCCTATAATCGTGAGGCATACGGATAATGGTTTGGGTTAAGGAACGCCACGCCATGCCACGCCACGCCACGCCGGACCGGCACCGGGGAGAAGACGTCGAGCGCGAGTGAGAGATCAGAGAAAAGGAAGGCGTACGCGCCGCCGACAGCGGCGCCGGGACAGGCCGCGGTTGCCTTCATAAAACATAAGCCGCATAGTTTCGGAGGGCCGATTTGCGGGCTATGATGACGGAAGACGATCGACGGGAAGAGCGATCGGGCGAATCCTTTCGCCGCCGTCCGAATCATGTCACGGTTTCAGCGAGAGCTCCCATTACCTGACTGACCCTCGGCCACCAAACGATCCTCGCTCTTCTCGGCTCCTCTTACGCGCCGCAGGATCGTGATCTAATTACGCGAACGGCTTGCGGCAGCGTCGCTCCGGCGCGGCTGCTATGACTGCTATGACGATCCGCCTCGACATCTCGTCGCGGAATTAGGCCTCGGTGCGTTTTATACAGTCCGAGGTGAGAGCGCATGGGAAATTAATGAGAATGATAAGACGTAGAGATGTGCGAATCAAGAATTTTTATGTCGAATCGAATCGAATCTACGAAATTTCATTCGAATTCGAATCGAATCGAATCATGAAAAAATTTATCATGACTATTAAACATGCACATAATGATGGAAGATTTTAATATGAAAGGGGATATTGATATTGCAATATCATCTTACAGTAAAATATATATTTAAATATTTAAAGTAATTTATAATTAAGTTATTAATTATAAGTTGAGTTAATTACAAGTTAAGGGTTCAAATATACAGGCCCAGATGGCTCGTTTTGCACCTGATGCATGTAAATATAATGCACGTTAATATATTTTATTCGTAATTGAATCTTCGATTCGAAATTTTCGAATTATTCGGATTCGAATCATAGGAATTCGGATTCGAATCGAATCGAATTACATCATTAGATTCGATTCGATTCGATTCGAATTCGAATAGTTCGCACATCTCTAATAAGACGTTAATTTTCCTCGCTATTTTTCTACTCTTCTTTCTTGGAGAAGATTAATTTTTATCAATTCGTCGTTCGTTGATTAAACGTATCGCGATGATGCGAATTTGACAGAACGCTTAAAGGTGACTCATTCTCGGTCGGGAGACCGAGCCAAAGTTCATTTCTTTGACATATCGCTTGTCCTCGATGGAAACATCGCGTCATCGATCGCAGGAGTGAACAAAGAGGTGCCTGAAAGCGAATCTCCGTCGCGCTCTTCAAAAGGGAGCACCGCTCAGAGTCAAGCGACTCGATCGAGAGCTCGCGAAAGTTATTTGTCGGACGGCGGTCGTGGCGCGGCGCGGCGGATACGACACGCATCGGCGGTAATTTCAACGCTCGCTAAACGGAGGCGACGCGTAGACGCGCGGTGCGTAAGCGCGCAGCAATTTTTCGAAGAACGGCGTTTCATTACCCTAAACGCATCCACCGTCGCGGAATAGACCGGTGGAGACAGGCAGCGGAGCGGGCAGGGTGCCGGAAACCGAGCGAGAAGGGTTGGGGTCGTGCACGAGAGCGGATGGCGACGGCGACAGCCGGCTGGCAGGCAGAGCCTCGTCGTCGCCGTCGAACGGACGGACGGACGGACGGATGAACGAACGAACAAACGGATGAGCGAGCGAGTGAGCGAGCGAGCGAGCGAGCGAACAAACGAACGAACGAACGAACGAACGAACGAACGACGACGATGAAACGACGACTGGCTCTCCCCCGTGCAGACAGACGAAACCGTGCGGGAGAGAGAAGGACAGAGAGAGACAGCCAGGCGCCGATTCCAGCGACCGGCCGGCGCTAACCACGACGCCAAGCGTGGAGCGGCGTCGCCGACGTCGCCGCCGCCATCGGCTGCGAGCGACGACGACGAAGACGACGGCGACGGTGATGGTAACGACGACGACGACGACGACGACGACGACGACGACGACGACGACGACGGTGATGTCGACGACGACGACGACGACGACGACGACGACGACGACGACGACGACGACGACAACGACGAAGACGACCACCACCAATGTAAGAATACTTCTTCTGGCACCGCCATGACGACGAGGCGGTCGAGAGGGTGGGACGCGTCCCAGTCGTCGGACGCCAAGCCGGGGGACGCCTCGTCGCCTACCCTCGACCCCTCTTTCCCACTCTTTCACGATGCACTCACACCCTCGCTCTGCCCCTCTACGATATTGTCATCCGAAATCCCCGATGTCAATAGCGCCATCGAGCTCCATACGAGAATAATTGACGGAGGAACCGAACGACGAGGCGTCTTGTTTGTCCGAGACGGTGGTCGGCTGCAAATTAGTAGGGGTTGTTTCCCCTCGAGCGCGCCACGACCTCGTCGCGCCCTACGACGCGTCCGTCGACTCGAATTCTCTTTGATACGCGCGCGTGAATCTCTCTCGCGGGATCTCGGATACAACTTTCTGCAGGACAACTTTATCCGCCAGATAGCTTTGCATTCGCTGCTAGGTAACGCCTGCCATTTTGATTTGTAACTTTAGAGCTCCTAATTATACGTCGATACGTTCGATCGTTTGGTGATTTTGCAACGGTGATACATACGGTGAGGCCACGTGTCAAACGTCTTTGTTCTTCCCGCGTGTGTACGATGCGGTCTTTTACGTTGCAAACTCCGGGATTTCTGAATAATACAGTCGAGTCGTCGTCGTCGTCGTCGTTGAATGATCAACGATCGTGATGCACGCTGACACGACGCGAGTGACTAAAAATTAATTAGTATGCGCAGCAATTCGCATTCGCACTCCCATTCTTTCGTCTTTTGTCTCGTCAAGCGGCCGCGCATCAGTCGAGCTCACGGCGCCGTACTTAATCCGCCGCAAACAGCAAAACCCTATAATTTCCCGCTGATCGCGCGCACTTTACAAAGGGAAGTCGAGGAAATCCCGACGCGCGATCGCAATCACCGCGCTCCTAGATCCAGGACGATAACTCATTTTTTTTGGATGGGGGTCGGTATAGACGGCGCCTGTGTGGATAGAGAGAGAGAGGGAGAGAAAGAGAGAGAGAGAGAGAGAGAGAGAGAGACACCCTTCCCTCTTTCCTGTTCTTCCTCACCCCTCGTTTCTGTACCCGCCGTTTTAACCCATGCCAGAGAGAGCGCCTACCCCCCGGCAACATCCGCGAAAAGTACAAGCGACCGGCATCGGTGGCGAGGGGGTGAGAAACGGAGGACGACTACGACGGCTCCAGCGTGGGGCGCCAAGTGTTTTGATGCTTGTTATGCGAAGGGGAACTTGATAAACAACGGGATGGAGGAACGGAGCCGGCGGAGCCGGACCCGGGATCATCACCGTCGCCCTCCGCCCACCGCCACAGTGGAACGGACGTCCGACCGACCGACCGACTGGCTGCGCCCGTGTCATTACGAAAGAATTGATGTCCTGACACTACGGCGTCATTCCGTTTTTCTAACTTGTTGTCCTGAACGCGAGTCCCGGAGGAAAGGGGGAGAGAGCGAGAGAGCGAGAGAGCGAGAGAGAGAGAGAGAGAGAGAGAGAGAGAGAGAGAGAGAGTGAGTGAGGGGCGTCCGTTCGTGTCGTTAGCGACGGTGCCGGGGCGCCGGAGACGCGGTTTTCGAGCGTCCCGCGATATCGGAAATTTCGGGTCATGGCGCACAGACTCGAGCAGAAGTGTCACCGTCGAGACTTCGAAGCCGTTCTCTTCGTCCTCCTTCGCCCAGGAGGATACGCGGACTTAACAGCGTGTGGCACGCACGTGTTGGCGTGCGTCGCGGCGTCAGTCATTTTCCACACTCGCTCTTCGTAAATAATTCGGCGGGCGAGCTGCGTCCGCATGGAAGGTGAAGTGAGGTCGTTTGAAGAAGATAAACCGCGCTCTCGAGTATTTCTTTCCTGCCAAATATGTTGAGAATCTGTTGATGACCGTCCAAACGTGTCGATTAGTTTCGCTCGCGATCCGCGACCTTTGTCCTTGAGACTTCCGTGCCGCGCGACTCGCGTGAAGCTAAGTTATCGTCCTGAAATTGAGCCTTTATGATATCTCGCATCGAAATGAATGCGAGACGCGCCAGTTTCCTTTTTCTCTTCTTTGAGACTTCTTTGAGAATTTGACGCGAAGAATTTTGTAAGAACGCACGCGAGATTCCGAGAAAGCCAGAAACACTAATGATCGTTTCCGCTACGTTTCACCTCGTTCTCGTCGTTATCCGCGTTCCTCTCTTACAGTACAATCCGCGAAGAGGGAGGAAGATTTAAGTGTACATACTTGACGGAAATAGAGCTGAGCTTCGCGCAGCAACGCGACGAAAACGAGAACGGTACCGGTGTTTACTCGCTTCCCGCTATTAAGGCGCAGGAAGTCTCGCTCGCTCGCTCGTGCGTCGCGACCGACCGTTTAATTCGCGCATCGTAAAGCACCAGCATCAAGGATACACATCGAATCCAGGAATCACCCTTAATGTCTCTCGGATCACATCGCATTTGCGCGACTTGCAGACATCGATCGGGACGCGACGAAGGACGAAAATAATCTCGTCGCCGCTAAAGTCGCTCGATCGATCAAATCCGCCTCTCGAGTCGAGTATGAACATTAAGGAATCGATCAAGGAAACAATTATATAAAGAAACGAGAGTGCACATTGCTTGATTAAAATGACTCAAACGACGATAATTGATTGTTAATTTCATGACAGTATATACAGCATCTGCCAAGCTGAAGGGAGGAGAAACAATCAGCGCGTAGTAAGGAGCGATAATTCTCGAGCGATAAATGTGCTCTACAGCGCCGAAGAGAAATGCAGCAGGTAAGGAACTGCTTATCAATTAACGATCACGTTCAGAAAGAATTGTGGAGATTGGCGGACAAAAAGTTCAAGCGACGACACAAAGTACGCTCTCGCAGTAAGGCCTCCGATATTTTCGAAACGGCGATCAATTATTCACCCCGAACTACTAGCCGAGTTCTCCCGGCATCAGAACTTGCTTGATGGAGATTACGTAATCGACCACAAGCTATCCGACTATAGCACCCCGACTCTAATCCTCGGCGACGCAAGGCAGAGTCGACGCTGCTCTTCCGGCTTCTCGGGCGCGAAATATCGAGCAACGAAGGGACATGACGCCGTCGCCGCCACCGCCGCCGCCGTCGCCGTCGCCGCCGTCGCCGTCGCCGCCGTCGCCGCCGCCGCTGCAAATGACATTGTTTATCCGGCGCGAGAGCAAGAAGAGACGCCCGAAACATATATATATATATATATATATATACCGGAGTCGTCGTCATCGTCGTCGTCGTCGTCGTCGTCGTCGGCGACGGCGGCGGCGGTCGTTTGGCTTGACTCGGTCAAGCACCCTGGTGTGTGTAGCAGTCTCAACGTCCTCGTTGGCCATGCATGCGCGCCAGCCAGAAACTACCCCGCTCGCTCTCGCCGACGTCCGCCGCCACTACGGTGCCCGGCGTCGTTCCCGTGCGCGCACGTGTGCATACATACATACATACATACATACACGTGCATAAAGTACACATAAAAGCGACGCCGTTCGCACGTGTGGCCCTCCTCATGTGTGCGAGTCCGTATGCATGTACGTGTATCGGACGACGGGGAGCGCGAGCGTATCCGCCGCCACTGCCGCCGTCGCCGCCGTCGCCGGCGGCGAGTGGCGTCAGGAGCCGCGTCGCCACGTTACTGGCGCGCCGCCGCTCGCCGTGTCGCCGCGGATTCGCGCCGCGCCGCGTCGCGTCGCGTCGCATCGCGTCGCGTCGCGTCGCGCCACTACGCGCGCCGGCAACACAGCGGCCGCCCTTAGAGACGAGAGGAGACGACGACGACGACGACGACGACGACGACGATGGCCGCAGGGGTGAGCAGAGACGACCCGACCGCCGGCTCCAGTCGTCCGCACGGCGCGGACGCTTCAGCACGCGCTACATATTGCGCGACTCTCGTGATCGCGGCCAGTCGACGCTTGGCGATCCGGAGAGTCGTGTCGGGTGCTGCGTTGGCTGATCGCGCGAGACTCGTCTTCCGCACCGCCAACGTGAGCGCGCATCGAGCCTCTTCCTCGTCGAGGGCTCTCTGCGCCTCGAATGGGAGATTGCACAAGGAGCAATTTCGACGGCGGACTCCGCCGAAGAAGCGCGCGTTCATTGAAAAGCGAGCTTTCTCCGCTATTCCGCGGCGTCTTCCCGGGCGCTTTCGGCTTTCGAGCCGAGCCAATTTCACTCGCTCGCCGCCGGTTTCTCCTTCTCTCTTTCTCTCTCTCTCTCTCTCTCTCTCTCTCTCTCTCTCTCTCTTTCTATCTGTCTCTCTACTCTGGCCTTCTCACGCCAAGTTACTGAGTGCAAAAGGTTTTTGATACCGCTGTTTTTCGCCGATGGAACTTAAAATCCAAGTTAATCGACACTCTTTTCGACGCCAAAGTTGTACCTCGATGCTCGTCTTATCGGAGAAAGGATACACGAACGATCGGACATAGGGTAAACTGATGTATTTTCTCGAATACTAAATGTAAATAATTCGCTATTTGTCAATTACGCTACGAGTTGATCGCTCCGCGAGAGTTTCTTTGTGTGCGCAACTCAAGATATACCCCGCATGAAGAGAACTCGGACTGATTATAGGAAAAATATCGACATGTGTTTCAGATATGTGTGCCTCGTTAGATCGGCGGGATAACGAACATATGTAGTAAAATTCAGCGGTGTGCTTTACCCGCGGAGTTCTCCGTGATCCGGCGGCAGAGATCTTGCAGCGACAGCGATAGCGACAGCGACGGCGACGGCGACGGCGACGGCGGTGTTTTGTACGCCGGCGTGGCACGTGCGCGGTATCTCGACCAATAGTGGAAAGTCGGCAACAGGTAAGAGACAACGTGAGTTCAGCGATATTACGGGAACGTCGAGAGAGAAAGAGAGAGAGAGAGAGAGAGAGAGGGAGGGAGAGAGCTAAATGGATGGAAAGTGTGTCCGAAAATGAGAGAAAGAAAAAAAAAACACGCGACTACGGAGAGAATGAAAATTCAGCCATTGTCGTTCTGGCGTCCGCGGATTTCCCTTGTCCCCTCCCCCCCGCCGAGGACACTCAGCGAACGACACGCGATACGGGAGGAGAAAAACGGATATGAGCGAGCACAGATGATTATTGCAACATTATCGTTTAATTGACGAACAGGAGACAGGTTGCCGAAAGGAGAAGGACTCGGGCTCTCCGCGACAGAGGAATAAATATTTCGCTGCGTTTGGGAAGCGATAATTATGCCGAGCATCGTCGTGTTTCTTTCTTCCCTCTTGCGTAATAACCGGCGCATAAATTAACGTCGCCGCGACAACGTCGAATCGCGCGCGATTAGCGAGCGAGCGAGCGAGCGAGCGCGCGCGCATAAAGACGCGATTGCGTCAGGCGCCGATTGCGGAATGCGTTTCGAAGGTGGATCGATGTAATCGTTACCCCGCATAGTTTCCGTCAATCGAGGTGGCATGAGTGGCAGGTGTAAATATAGTAATGCCGCAAGCCGACGCGTAAATATCATCCGCCACGGGAGACTCTATTTTATCCCCATTATCTCCGCGCTGTGATGGACGCGCCGTATTTAGACTTAGCGTGTGTAAATTTAAACGCGCGCGCATATCGCGCCGGCACGGAGTAGCGGCGCATCTCGCGGGAGCGATCGGCCGGGAAACACGTCGCTCCGCGGCGCACGGCTGATTCGTCGTGCCGCCGAAACCTTCCCCAGGTCCAACGGTCATCATCCCCGGTGCCTTCGCAGGATTAGCTATTTGGTTGTCCTAACTGTGCGAGCAAGAGACTTTCTTTCACACTCAAAGCACCCAAGAAGTCAAGGTGGATTTTCTCGGGAAAGTTGCTCAAACTTGTAACGATGCATTTTGTGCTTTTCATCAACGTTGAAGGAAAGCAAAGAAGTAAAAACATTTTTTGCCCTCGGGTCGTTGATCGTCGGTAGTTTTGGCGTTAAACTGTAAACGACTTTACAGAGTGCACGAAGCAGCGGTAAGATCGCCGATTGCATTAACGACGACGCGCTGCGTCCGTCGATCATTGTTCTCGGCCAAGACGACACGCGATGTTATCGTCGAACGCGCCAACGTCGAACCTTGTCGAGTTCAACGTTTAGACGGACGACGCCTTGACGTGGGTGTATCCCACGATACACCTTTTTTTTACGCGAGCCGCCGCCTGCCAGGGAGCGGCGCGTTTACCCACCTCTGGCCGCGCGCCGTGCCGCGAGGTTTTTCCCAGCGTGCGAGCTCCCGGCTCGCACATGCGTCATCTCCGAAAATTCAGTCCCCCGATATCGCGCTCGTGCTTGTCGTGGCGCTTCTCATGGCGACCCCGCGCTCTCGACCATAACAACGGCGCGCCCGAATAGATTACGCCCTACGTCGTACGTAGGGATTTTCAGCCGACGATGTTTCCTCTTCCTCTTTCCCCTCCGTTCATATTCTTCTTTCCGCGTCTCTTCATGTTTGTCCCAAGTACTTTGTCTCGCGTGTAACCTACGTTCTCAGAGAGTGAAGCCTCCAGAATGTTGATAAAAACTACTCTTACCTATCTATCCACCCCCATATTTAATTCGGCATCTATAGAGACGCGAGACCGGGCCCCGATGCGCGCACGGCTAAAGGTGGCGGCGTCGTCTTCGCCGACGATTTCGCTCTCGCGCGAGCGAACCGCCGTCGCCGTCGTCGCCGCTCGCTTGGCCCGAACGCGTGGTGCTCGCCGCGAGAAGGAGGGCCCGGGCGGGTTGCGGCGCGGGCCAAAGAGGTACGGACGGATGCTGGACTGCGGCGGTGCGGAGAGCGGCAGAAGGGGAGCGATCGAGCGAGAGGGGCGCGGCGGGGCACGGAGGGAGGCAGCGGGACGGACAGGCGCCTACGGCGCGGATCCGAGTGGCGCCAGCGCTAACGTAAGCGTCAGCGTTAGCGCCGGTCGCGCGTCCGGACCGGCCGATATCATCCAGGAAGTTACGAGCCGCACCTGTCCCGTCATACCTTCCCCCCCCTCTCGTCTCTCTCCTCCACGTCGCCGGCGCGCTCGCTAGTCCTCGTCGCCGTCGCCGCTGCCGCTTTCGCAGGGCCGTCGTTGCTACGCTCTCGCGCCCACCGACAGACACAACGCCGCTGACGAACGTCGTCGCTCGTCGCAGGTGTTCCGCCGAGCAGCCGCCCGGTCGCCGGCGGTTTCGCGTCGCGCCAAAGTGGAGACTTCCGTTGGCAGCCGTCGTGTCCGGAATGAAAAAAGGGGCGAAAGAGAGAGAGAGAGAGAGAGAGAGAGAGAGAGAGAGAGAGAGAGAGAGAGAGAGAGGCATGATCGGGTGGCCGTATATCCGCTCGGTTTTAGGGAGATCGTCTTCACGAGCCACGAGCTGGCGACGTCGTTCGGAGTTCAATCGAACGACGGCGGTGGTCGTCGACGGGGAAACTGGTTATTGCCGCTGGTTTCTCTTATTACTCTTTGTAATAATCTCGGCGTGTTTTTAACAATGAATTTGAAAGTCTCTGATGAATCTTGGTACCTCGTGTATATTTCTACCTCGCGTTTCTCCTCCTCTCTTTCTGTTTCTCTCTCTCTCTCTCTCTCTCTCTCTCTCTCTCTCTCTCTCTCTAGCGCGAGGCTCAGATTAACTCGAGTTACGCTTTATTGCTGCGACTTAAACGCGCGTATTTCCTCGTGGCAACCACCGGCAGAAATATCTCGAATACGAAGGCGAGGCGAGAGAGCTGGAACTACTACTACTACTATTACTACTACTACCACTACTAGTATTACTACTACTGCCGCTGCTGCTACTGCTGCCACCAGCGCTATTACCATCGGCAGCTTTCCACGCGCGCGTACACACCCGTGCGCTCCGTTTTTATGGAACAATCGTTAATCGTATGCGCGACCACTTGATCGAATATATTTAAATCCCTGACGAGTTAAGTAGGGACATGGCGCCAGCGATGCAGACGATTACGTACCGAGTCCTCGGAGTCCGTCGAGCGTGCAATGCGTCGCGTCGCGTCGTGTTGCGTGCGTCGCGTCGCGACACACTGCCACGGACCTGGCGACCGGGTTTCCCGTTTACAAACGATCGTCGTTAATACCAGCCGAATTTCCATAACCGGCACAAAGCCTCCCGTCCCGCTGACTGACAGGTGTGCGAAACGCTGTTAACACAGCGAGCGCGAACAATGAGGCGCCGTTACGGTCGCGCGTTCGTTTTATCCTTCACAGACTCGGGTCGCATCAACTTTACAATGGACGTACCCCTTTCTCTCGATCTTTCTCTTTTTGACGCTTTTTCTCTGTCATTTGTGAGAGAAATTTTACGAACGCTTCGTAATGTCGGTGGCACGTCCGACGTCTCACTCGTCTAGCGGACGCGTTGAGGACACGCCGGACTGAAATTCGAATCGTTCAACGTCACGTGTGCTTTTCGCGCGGAATACTCTCTAGATTTCTGCGAGTGAAATTCCACTCGGAGAATTAGACCGACAGCCGACTCACTCGATTTCGAGTGACTTTGTTAACACAAAATCACTAGACTGTGGATTATATATACATATATAAAACTGAACAGAGTTATAGTTTCCGTTTGACGAGGTTTAGACAGAGAGAAAGAGATTATTCATTTTGTTCGGAGGACATTCAAGCTCTGATTTTGGCCCTCGTGGACACCTGAAGTGATTATCTAGAATTAATTAGGCTTCGATTGAATTCTCCCTCGCATCCTCGGCGAGACTTCACTTCGAGAGATATTTGGAGAGTGTAATATATATAAATATATATAAATATACACGTTTCTCTCGTGGGATCTGTTTATCGGACGATCAAAGTGTTTACTAGCGTGCGACGAGACTCGTAATAATAATACGCTATTAGCTATAAAGGCTCGTCCAAGTTTTCCGCAACGTTCGACGCAGGTACGCGTAGCAAATATACACACACACACACACACACGCACAATGCAGCACACGGTGATAAACAGCTAGAAGCCCCGAATGATTGGTCATACCACCGACGACACGCGTTCCAACGTGTCGTCTCGGTCCATCGGGGAGTTGCTGAAAAAGATTCCGCCTGCCCCGAGAATAGCCCGAAACGTCTCTGCGCTTCGCGGAAGATGAATTATAGCGGAATCGTGAGCGGGATGCTCGCAAAGCCGCCATCGTCGCCGCCGCCGCCACTGCCGCTTCGAAGAACGACGACGATCGCTCTCTCGCTCGGAATTTGGAGCGTTGACATCGGCGCCGACGGTCTCCTACATAGAGAGTTTCAGAGAGACACTTCATGTCTCTCTCTCTCTCTCTCTCCCTCTCTTTCCCTCTATCTATCTCGGAGCGCTTTTCGATATCCGCCCGTGCCCTCCGGTCGAGTAAAATTAACGCGAAACGCGCCGTTTTTTAATGCGTTCGCCGCCGCGTTAATTTCCGTTTGATCGCTTTGAAAGCTCCGTCGACGACCGATTCACCGGAGATACGGTGAAGAGACGTAATTTCGGTAATGAGCGTACATCCTTCACTCGTAATCGAGGTCATATCACTTGGGTATTTTTGCGTCGACGATGGAACTTTTCTAGATAAATAACTACAAACAGCAAATTTCTATCTGCTCTATTTTTTTGCTAATTTAACGCGATTATGAATCAGCGCGCGTAGACGGGGTCAATCGTACTTTGCATGTAACTTTTCTGTGTTTCTTTTTTTTTTTTTTTTTTTCGGATACGATAATATCACAGCGCCCCGGTCGCCGACGGTAACCGCCACGGTATTCAACGCGCTAATCGCGAGGCATTACGACACACGAGAGACGATGTTGTTTCCTTCTTTTTCCTTCCTTTTTTTTTCCATTCGCAATTGAAACTACAGAACTCGGGTACGCGTTTCTCGCGCGGTCGGAGGATAATTATGATAACATATACGAACGAGCACAAATGAGAAACGAGTAGGATCCGCGATATACCCACTTGCCGTTCGTAATCTCGCGGCGCGGCGCGGCGGTTAATGGCGACGCGGCAAAAATGCCGCAGCTGAAAATGTTTTCCATGCGAGAGAGGCGGCCGCTCCCTCGTTTGTGCGCGGCGTGACAACGTCAGCGCGTCGTCAATCATCATATACCTCTCTGCCTTGTCGCGGTCTCGGCGCCGCCGAGAGAGAGAGAGAGGGAGAGGAGAGAGAGAGGGAGAGAGAGAGAGAGAGGGAGGGAGAGGAGAGAGAGAGAGAGAGAGAGAGAGAGAGAGAGAGAGAGAGAGAAAGAGCGGGTATTCTCGGAAAGTGTCGGAGACGCGCGCTCGTCAGCGTGCTCGCGCATTTTTTCCGCTTCTCACGCGTCTCGCAAATTGGTCGCGGGGTCGCCGCTGAAATTTCAATTATCTATCCGTCGGGTAGAGAACGTCGCGGGCTCGTGGATCGCGATCGATTAGTCGCCGCCGCCGCCGCCGCCGCCGCCGTCGATGGGGAATCCCGGACTCGGCCCGGCCGGATCGCGAATACGCGAGAGTGCGCGCGTTAATCTCCGAGCCGGCTCGGAAAGCACGTCGTTCAGCGGCGGTAATTGGCGGCGGGCTGCTTTACCGGCCCGTTCATTAATAATCTTCGGTTGCGACGAGGCCTGCAAAGAGGAAGGAGGTTGCGCGCGAGTGACACAACGAGCGAGCGAGCGAGCTCGGTCGAAACGAAAGGTGACATCACGACCTTTCGGGAAGAGACGACCCTCGTCTCATTCTATTTGCGCGAGCTCGGCATTCCTATCGCGCTGCATTGTTTCGAGCGGGCGCCGGTGCTTATGCCGCGACGGCGTCGCTCGTCCCCACGCGGCTCGCGCGATCCGCGGCTCGGCGATGTCCATTTTAAGAACGAGCGTAATGCACGCACGAGCACACGACATACACGTGCACGCGGATTTTATATGGATACTACGACCCGTCGACGAGCGGTGCTTTTTTTTCTAACTGTTATGTGGTTCGTTTGAAAAATCCAACTGTCCAACTGGCGATCAGATAATTTAGAAGAGATCGCGCCTACGAGCCGTTCGTTCTAAGAAGAGTCGCTCATTCGTCCCGATTGCGGAGACGTAGCAATTATGCAATACGGTGATTACTTAAGGACACACGCGCCTCGCGAGCTCTGGGCAGTTTTGTAAACAGCCCCGGCGATTATTTCGTTCGCGCTGTCGGAAGCGGAATTTTTTCGGTATCGACGGAATTTCGGTATTCCGTCGAGTAGCACGACGTTCGAGCATTCCTCGGCGCCATCGGTTGCGATATGTCAAGAATGGCGCCACACGCTCCGCGGAGCGGTGGCGGGCATGCGAGTAATTTTCACGTTTAGAAATAGAACAAAATAAAAGTACGATCGCGCGCGCGATCCTGCGCCGTTTCGCGTGCTTCGCTCGCGTCTCGAACTCGAGTCTCGCAGAAACGTACGCGTACGCGTAATTGCCGTCGACTAACTAAATGATGATTCATTGATCACTGCAAAGACGAAATTTCAATTAAATCACCCTCGCGCGCACACACACACACACATACACACGCACACACACATACATATTAGCCAGACAATCGTGAAGAGCAGAGAAGTATCAGAACTTTTGTACTCATTCAATAATTTCTAATTTAATTCAGCGTTGGTAAGGATACCTCGGAACAAAATAATAACACGATTATCCCTCCAAAATTGCATTTACGGCACAAAGAGGCTGTCATTGCGGCCAAAGGGTTTCAGTCGTTTCTCTCTCTTCCCTTCCTCCTCTCTCTCTCTCTCTCTCTCTCTCTCTCTCTCTCTCTCTCTCGCTTGCTCTCACGGTAAAATCTATATTCGTCAAAGGAAACGCGACTGCTGAAAGGCGCCTTGTATCCTCGAGAGCGGGAATAATTCGTGCGTCCCGTTACGGATATACGGACAAACGAATACTCTCCACCTCATCCGGAGTCTCTCTCTCTCTCTCTCCCTTCCTCTCTCTTCTTTCCTAGCGTGCGGACTAAACGAGATCTTTTTGTTCGGAACGTCCGTATACCTTGGGCTAGGGCCGCCTTGATCGACATTTAATTGGACCGAGACATCGAGGCACCGAGAACGCGGACGGCCCTGAAGAATTTACCGCGAGCTTTACCGGCCGGACGAGCGAGAGGGGAGAGCGAGGAACGAGAGCGTGGGACGAGGAGGAGCGCGGGACGGGAAGGTAAGGGCGGAAAGGAATCGGAGAGAGACGGACAGCGTTCGCGGAGGCCAGGCGTCTGATTACTAGCCAGCGCAGGACGCCAGACGTACATAACTAAATAACTTCCTAAATTCTATATCATTTCGGAGCAGGCTCCGACGGTGAAATAACGCGTCTAGACCCTCGTCGCGACCCGTCGCGAGAAGAGAGACAGAGAGGGGACCCGAATGGGTTAGAGACACTCGCGCGTCGGAATCTGGCGGAATTTGTGACTGCTATTTTGCACGATTCGCAGAGATTAAGGGTCAAAAAGTACGATGCCGGTTGTATTATTTTTTATACAATGTAACATCTCGCTAATATTTTTACTGCTAATATTTTACTGCTATGTCGCACAATTTTCATGTCATTGCGTACAAAAATATCAAGACAGTACAGGAATGTATGATAATCATATCAATATTTTATATCGTACATTCCATGTTATAGCAAATATATATAATCCCATATCTAATCCCATATCGAATATTTTATATTTTATCGCATTTATAAAATGTGTCGTAGTATATTATGCGTGATTTGTCCAGATTGTCCAGTAAGAATGATTGAATTTACGATTCGGCCTGCAGAAGCTCGGGTCGAGAGTTACATTATTAAAATATTATTAAAAATTAGATCACTCGCGCGGACGCATATGCCCAGACGGTGATGCTGCGCACCGCTTAGCGCGTCTCAAGTTCACAAAGCGGCTTCACGTCGAGTCGCGGTGTGCGCGGTTAAAAACTACGCGCGTTGCGACGCGCGAATTATGCGTCGCATAAATATCTAACGTCATTTACTATTTTAAGGCAGGCGATTGTGGAACGATATATCGAGATAGTCGGGCTATGTACGCGCGCCGTATAAACCGCGCGACTTTGTCTCTGTTATTTTAATTGTCACTGCGCGAACCGCGTCTTCCGTTTCTCGTCATTTCCGACCGAATAACGTCTGCCTGCGTGTCGGAGTCATGCAGAGCGCACTCTTGCGCGAGGAAATCTTATCCGACTAGACTGGAATGCTGATTTTCATGGAATCTCGATACGATCGCGCTTCCACAAACGTCGTGACCGATACGGAATATCGCGAGACCGCGGCGATCCGCGTGTTACGCTATATTACGACGGCGTTTCGACGAGGAAAAACGAAATTACAGACTCCCGTAACCATAAAGTCGTCGCCGGACGGGCGCTGGGACTGGGCGAGGCTATATGCAGCCTATTACAAAATTTCGTCCGCGGGATCGCGAAACGGGTTTCTAAAATTAGAAAATTTACGAGCGACGATCCTTTCGGCTCCGCGCGCGCGCGCTGGTATGCTATTCGTGATCCTTTTTCAGTGTTTCGACATATACCTGGCTCGCCATGCTCTAGTGTCGACCGACGCCGCTGCGATCCAAATTGAACGCGCTGCGGCGCTTCTCTTTCGAGCAAGCATAAACTGCGCATTTTTATGCGTTATTATAAGCAGCGGCCGATGCGACGCGCCGATACAGCGCCAAGTCAACGGCCGAGCGAGCAGGAGCAGAGGACGCGCAGGATCTCACACACCTGCCGGAGCGAAATTTTTCCGAGTTCAACGCTCGGCCGGCCGGTCGGTCGGTTGTCTGGTTGTCGTCACCTCCGAAAATTTAATCTCTGAATTTTCGCTCGACCTTGGTCTCGAAGGTCCCTCGTAGCTCTCGTCGCGACGCGAGGATGACGTCAGCGCGCACGCCGCTCATCGAGCTTTTTCACGAGCGAGTCAACGAGTAGACAGCACGCCGTTACTTCCGGCCCGACAATAGAATGTTGAATTTTCTTCCCTGACAATAGGCTGACGTTGCGATAACCGCGCATTATTGCCGCGCGATTGTAATATGGCGTGGCAATAAATTAAAATTGTAACAGGGCACGCGTCCGATGCGTCGTGCGCATTAATGTGCGCTGCAATACATAGATCTCCTCTCGAAAACAATTCTCCGAACGACAACGCAACATTATCTGCCCGAGCTGAAGATAAAGTCGAAGCGGAAGTTTTTCCCGACGCTCGGACGAGGAGATCGCCGTCGAAAGTTAAACTACCACTAACTCCCGGCCGATTCGGTCAGTCTTCTATGATGACTTCTACGACTCACAACGTGAATTTTACGCTTCACCACGCTTCTGACGTCAAATGTTAATATTATTTCAATAAAAAGGCAAGCACGCCGTCAATTTCTGTTGCAGACCGGACTGGATCTGCGTCAACGAGTGCGGGCGACAAGGATCTTCGGAGCTTTGTGAGTAATTGATGATATATTTATGTCACTGGTCATTTCAAAAACTAACGCGCTCGAAACGATGTCTTTACCTTCACGAATATTTCGTGTATTGCGCTCTATTGTTTAACAACGATGCACTTACCTTCGATGCATCCAGCGACAATAATTCCGTAGACGCGCTTCCGTTAGTTCCGAAAGGCGGGATATGACGCGACCTAACCTCTACGACACGAAAATCGCGCGGCACCTCGCTCGACCGCCGATTTCACGCGATTCATCCACTTTCGACGACTTCCACATCATCACGGATGCACGACATTCACTACCGGCACTCCTGGCCCACGATCATTCGAGCGCGAAACTCGCTTTCAGCGAGCCGGGGTCGCGAAAAAATTCGGAGCGTCCTTCCGATGAAACGATGAAAAAGGAACGGCACGCACCTTAACTAACTATGCTATTAAGTTCGTTCGCGTTACTTGCACTTTTGACACTTTTATATCTGATGCCGGTTGCACGTCGAACGCGATGAACGATAACCAATGAGAACTCTTCTTCCTAAAGAGAGGCGGCCAGGGTGCAACGTGAAGTGTAAAAGTGTCAAAAGTGCAAGCAATTCAAATCTAACGTAGACGCGTAGACGCATATTGCGATTCTCGATATCGCACTTTACTCGGTACCTCCGCGACCGGCTGCCACCACCCTCGTCCCCGCGAGAGATACGTTTTGATGGCTGTTGAGCGGTATTTTGCCACGATGAATGCACGGGACTTACTTTCGACACGCTTGGCGACGGTCATTCGTGGAAGCGGCTGCTTCTCGCTGAGTCCGGAACGTAGAAGGCGGGTATCTAACCTCCACGACACGGCAATCACCTCTGGACAACCCTGTTCCACGAGGTATGCTTTAGCGGGGCCGTTTGGGCGCATTTTGCATACGCCGGGTGCGTGAAACTTGTTCCCGACATTCCCGACGATGACAATTCGAGCGCGGGGAGTCTCCGCCGGCGAGTCAAAAGCGCAAAGGCCGACGATTCGTACCGTTAATTACCGCGACACGCGATCGCGATCGCGCTGTATTTTACTCGTCAACATGGCGACATGTTCGATACCTCGTGACGATTATCGCACGACGTCACGTCACTTCATGTAGTTCCGCCATGTAGGTTTCGTCTTGAATCGCGATCGGTACGCACTTGCAGCGTCCTTTTTGCACGTCGAAGGTGCGTCCCACGCGCGAACGAGTGATGGCGAGCGTCGAGAATCGAGCGCGATTACATTATCCGTACGTATGGCAAGTATAGAGACTAGGTCTTTCAGAGGTAGATACGTGTGTGCAGGGGATCGTCGCGCGTATATAGGTTAAGACCAGAGATGTGCGAATCAAGAATTTTTATGTCGAATCGAATCTCATTTTTTAAATTCAAATTCGAATCGAATCGAATCCATGAAATTTCATTCGAATTCGAATCAAATCGAATCGAACCGTTACAAAATTTAACATGAATATTAAACGTGCAAATAATGATGGAAGATTTTAATATGAAAGGGAATATTGATAATATTGTAATATCATCTTAAAGTGAAGTATATATTTAAATATTTAAAGTAATTTATAATTAAGTTATTAATTTTAAGTTAGGTTAATTACGGTAATTAAACATTATTAATTAATAATTAATTAATATATAAGTTAAGGGTTCAAATACACAGGCCCAGATGGCCCGTTTTATAACTGATACGCACAAACGCTAATATATTTGATTCGTATTCGAATCTTCGCGATTCGAGATTTTCGAATTATTCGGATTCGAATCATAGGGATTCGGATTCGAATAGTTCGCACATCTCTAGTTAAGACGGACCAGTCGATTTCGTCCGGTGTATCCTTTCCGCGAATTCGGCAAGTCCGAGCACGAATTCGGAGTTTTATCGACGAATTCAACATTCGCGTCATATAAAGATACACGATGGGCACCGTCCTTGATGCGACTTTCGTCCGTTTCGCGACGCCGAGTACATGCAAATTCCCGCTGATTAAGTTCTCTCCGGTTGAGTCTCCGGCGCGTTTCGAACTGCGTCGCCGACGAGAGAAATGCGTCGGGAACGCTTAATGTACGCAACGTGTAACTGCGAGAAGTAAGCGTAAGGTTGCCATTTCCGTGCGTGATTGAACGGCGAAAATCGGCAAAAATCGGCGAGTCCATATCGCGGTGTAATAGTGTTAATGGCGCAAATGTCGCGCCGTGCCGTTCGAAAAACAGCGCGCTCCCGGCGACGCGACCCGGTCCCCGGCGTCTCCCGGCCATTTCCTTTGTCATCCGATAGCTCGCCGTCCGTCCGTCCTTCGCTGACGTTTCTTTGTCGACGGGGACCGTCGGGGTGAGTTGGGTACGGAAGATACCGTGACTAAAATTCGTCCTGGAATGTTGACCTCCTCCGAGACGAGACGTAACCCGGCGACTTGCGCTGAGACGCCAAGCTGCCGCGTCGAGACGCTGGCTGGCGTCAGTCTGCTTCGGCGAGCGACCGCTCGTCGTTAACGGTTTCCTCTTCCTACCTTTGTGCTATGTCTCTTTCTCTCTTTCTCCGCATCCTCTATCTTTGCTCTATTGCCGGATCGAAAGCTTCGCCTATTATCGGTTCCGGGCCCACTCAGCCTTATCTCCCGAGTCTCGAGATACACGGAATGTCGAAAAAGTGGGACTGTATGCATGATCGATATGACCGTTATCTTTTCAAACAAACCTCCGATTACGTGTGAAAACATGAACATAAAATTCAATTATCGCTCGGAGTAACATTGTTTGGACGTAAAGCGAGAGCGGAGGACGATTCCATTTGGGAAACCGTGCGATCCGCGACACGTTGGCGCGCGCGCGCGCGCGCGATCCTTATCGAGTAAACTTAAAACGATATTTAAACTCGTCGCGATAATTGCGAAGAAACGGGAAACGGTCGTAACGGTACACAAGAATCCCGCTCTCACGGGCAGGGGAGGGAGGGGTCATCATCGTTCATTCTGGCCGCGCGATCAGAATTTCGACTACTCGAATTCGAGTCAGGCGGCGACAAGGACTTTTCGTGCGCGCACGTTTGATGAGTCCGCCGGCGAGGCGCCGTCGCCACGCGCGATAAAACGAGCCGCCAGCCACGAGAGTAGACTCCGGCGGCGCGCTACTTGGCGACCGTGGCGCCTCCGCCGCCAGCGCGGCCATGTTTGACAGTCTCTACTTTGTGTGTTTAGTATGCTGCGGTCGGTGTATCGGCACGTCGAGACGCGCCGCTCGGGACGCGACGACTCGTGAGGGAAGCGAGACGCACAAGTGGGAGAAGAAGTCCACGGTGGGGTCGGATAGCCGGTGAAGAGGGCGACGGCGGCGACGGCGGTGGCGGCGGTGGAAATCGGTGAGCACGCTCGTACGTGCGAGACCTCGTGCGTGCCAGTCGCGTTGCTGAGCATAGCCGAGTCGGAGTTGCCGCGCCGTGGTCAGTCGCGCGCAACAGTTCGTCCCGCGACGAGCTAGTCGGTTATATTCGATTCGCGTGAGCGAACCGCTGCGAACGAGTAGCTGCGGGAGAAAGGAAAGCGAAGGCAGAGGAGAAGAAGAAGAAGAAGAAGCAGAAGCAGAAGCGGAGGGTGACGATCGGGCGACGAGCGACGTAGATCGACAGGATCGACGGAGCTAATAGATTTGCTTTGTAGTAGCAAGTACCGACGACGATCTCGTTTCTCTCTCGACGTCGTCGCTCGTCATCGTGTCGTGGTGAGCGAAGAAGTGCCGCTCTCTCTCTCTCGCGTACGCACGCACGCACGCACCTACCTACGAGACGTACGTACGTACGACCTCTCTCGCCCTCCGTCGAGTTACACATCCGATCTCGGCCCGGTGCGCCGGTCTCTCCCACTATCTCTCCGTTGCGCGCGGTGTGTGTGCACCCCTTCCCCGCTAGCTCGCTCGCTCGTTCTCCCGTCCCTCGGCAGTGAGAGTATACCGCGCTGGTGTATAGCTCGCGCTCTCTCCATCCAGAGCGACCGAGCGATTTCAAGAATGTGACAGTGCGCGTCCTCGCGGTCGGTCGGTCGGTCGGTCGGTTCGCGCGACGAACGAGTTTTCGCGAGCGGTAGTAGCAGCGGAGCGGCCGACGCGGTGGCGATGGGTGCCGAGGATCGCGGCGCGTCACGGTGAAAGAGAGAGAAAGAGAGAGAGAGAGAGAGAGAGAAAGAGAGAAAGGGAAGGAACAGTGCGATAGAGAGACTGTGATAGAGAAGCGGAAGAAGGGAAAGAAGGACGGACGATGCGAGCGGAAAATGTCACTCGGTGATACGCGCGCACGGATGACGGGGAGTAATCAACGGAGCGACGATCGCGAGTTCGAGGTTGTTAGAAGAGTGTCGTCGCAGCGACGGTGCTGGTGGCGATCGTCGTCGTCGTCGTCGTCGTCGTCGTCGTCGTCGTTGTGCTCGTCGTCGTCGTCGCTACGCGGTGCCGGCGCGTTGCCGGCATTGGCGACGGCACGAGCGCGGGATCACCGGGAACGGGAGCGACGTTATCGCGTTCTTCTGTCGCGAGCGGGTCCGAGGCCGGACTACTACTACTACTACTACTACTACAACAACAACAACAACAACAACTGCTCCACGGCAACGTTGTCGCCGTGCTCATCGTTGTCGCAGCAGCAACAGCTGGCGAGAGTCGCGCCGGCGAGTTCCTGAAGAGGATCAGCGACGCCGCCGCGGGGAGATTTTCGCGGCGCGACGTCGCCGGTGTATGGTGTGTGTGTATGTGTGTGTGTGTGTATATACACACGCACAGACGTCTTACGTGCACCACGTATCCGTATTACGTACACACGTGCCGCTCGTCCGTCCATCTGTACGTGTGCGTGTGTGTGTATGTGTGTGTGCGTGTCGGTGCCGGGTCGCGAGGTTAAGGCACCGCGCGTCGCCCTCGATACCGCGACGGCCGAGGAAAGTAAAGGCCGGGTGTCGTGCGTGCGCCGACCGATTCGTTTCGTGCCTACCCTCTCCTCCGCCGCCCCTACCAGTCCTCCCCCCTCCCGCCGGTTCTCCTCACCCTCGCTTCATCGCGCGACTCTTCTTTCTCTCTCCCGTACATGTAACGGATAAGAAGAAGTGTACGACGATATACTAGTAGCAGTGTGCGCATCCGTCAGTAACCTCGGCGGTGACCGTTGCACCGTTTATGCGTGCATGCGTGCGTACGTAGGATCGTCCGTTCGTTCGCTCGCTCGTCGATTCACACGCGTGCTGTGAGCCATACATCATTGTCGTCCATGCCGTGACCGACAACGTGCGGTGACTGACGTCTACGGGTCGCCGTCGCCGCGATGCCGACAGTCGCTCGCCTTCACAGACGTCGCACGGATTGTTTGCGACAGCGGGGGGTGTCTCGCCGGTCGTAATCAAGTGGAACAGGAGCAAAAGAGGTACGAGTGTTTTCGCCAGGCTGTACGGCATCAACGGAGGCTGCAGATAATTCAGAAAAAAAAACGAAGCCCCCGAGACACAAAACAGAGGGAGAAAGGGGGAGAGAGAGAGAGAGAGAGAGAGAGAAGTAGGGGTCGCGACTGGCGGACCTAAGTCGGGACACGATCCCGAAAGAAGGGAAGGAAGAAGACAACAGTCAGCAATTGGCCGGCCCGAGAGGCGCGTAAATGAGAGTTCAAGGTCTGCCGGTAGTGGTGGTGGTGTTGGACCAGAGCACGTTTACGCGATCGAGGAACTTATTCGAGCGACAGAAGGCGAACGGGATCGACGCACGTTCCTCTTGCTCGTCTCGCCGTCGTCGTCGTCGTTCTCGGTGGAAGAAGTCGGAAATATTCCCGGCTAGGAGACACGCACATCGTTCCGTAACTACCGCGAGCCGCCGGCCGGGGAGGACAGCTCAGAGAAAGAGGAAGAGGCAGACAGGAGGAGGAGGAGGAGGAGGAGGAGGAGGAGCAGGAGCAGGAGGATCCGCGAGGGGACGCGAAACGGCGACGGAGCAGCTCTCTGCTGCGCCGCGGTGGACTGTCACACTATTTCGGGACCGTGATCCAAAGTGCGCGCGAGATACGCGCGGGCATAAATAAATATATATATACGCGAGCGCGACTGTGTGTGTACATATAATATATATATCTGTGTGTATGTGTGTATGTGCGCGCTACGTGCTACTCCACTGTCTGTGATCCCCCGGTTTTTCGCGTGTGCGCTGCACGTTCTCGCGGGAAAAAAGTGCTTTCCGTTGACAGTGCGTATACTTCGTGTTTGTTGAACAGACGAAGAAGAGGAAAAGGAGAAAACTGAGAAGGAGAAGAGAAAGAAAAGGAAAGGTCTAGCGGAGGGTGTTCAAGGAGAAAGAGAGGGTGGTCGCGGGCTACGGTCTTCTCGGGCTACGAGACATCTGAGAACTATCGGCAGAGATCGCTTCGACGACCGCGTGCGTGTGTGGTCAGCGACAGAGAGAGAGAGAGAGAAAGAGAGAAAACCCACCACTTCGCTAGTCCTCGTCTCTTTGTTTTCCTAGGCGGCAACGTTGAAAAGGACTGGCCACCAAATGCACGTACCGCAAATCTTGTTTCATGTTCATGTTCTGGAGCAAACGGACGGTGCTCACTAAACGTCTGCTAAAGGCCAAGGTCCGTGGGGAGCATGAAACCGAGTGTGAAACTCAAGAGGACTCGTCACGTATTCATCGCACTAGCAACACGAGCGGCGTTGCCGGCGGTTACGATACGAGCAGCAACAACAACAATAACAACAATAACGCGACGGCGGGTCGAGTGAGCCGGAGCAGCGCGGCGCGAGGAGGAGCAGCAGCAACAGCAGGAGGAGGAGGAGGAGGTGGTGGTGGTGCTGGTGGTGGAGCAGCGGCGGCAGCAGCAGCAGCAGCAGCAGCAGCGGCAGCGGCGGCAGCGTTGTCAACGGGTGCGCATACGGGATACGGTCGCATCAGCACCGCTACGACGACGTCCAGCAGGCTCCATCAAGGCTGCTGCGGCGGCGACTCGAGCCAAGATGACGACGAGGATCCCAGCAGATTGATGAGGTGCAAGGAGCTGCTCAAGACGCTCAAGGAGAATCAGCTGGAGATGCTGTTGAACGCCGTCGAGAGCTACGGCGCCGATCTCGGCTCGTGCGTCCTCGTGCCGCGGCAACAACAGCAGCGAGGAGGACCCGACGATCACCACCGCTCGTACGATCAGCAACACGAGCAGCAGCAGCAGCAGCAGCAGCAACAACAACAACAACAACAACAACAACAACAACAACAACAGCAATACGGCGGCAGGCCGCATCGCCATCACCCCCGTCATTTCCATCATCAGCGCTATCGTCATTATCGTCACCACCGTTCCCGGCACCATCGCTCGTCCTCCATCGAGGACGAGCAGGAGAGCTGCTCCGCGTCCGAGGAGTCCACGTCGCCGATGAGGTCGGCGGACGAGAGGTACTGCGGGAAAGCGGGAGCCGGCGGCGGCGGCGGCGTCGTCGTCGCGCCAGTGAGAGGAGGATCGTCGGCGGCTGAGAGCAGCGCACCGAGCGACCCGCACCTGCTCTGCTGCCAGATCTGGCGGTGGCCGGATCTCGAGCACTCCTCGGAGCTCAAGAGACTTCCTATCTGTCATTCCGCTAAAGACCCCGTATACATATGCTGCAACCCCTACCACTGGAGCCGGCTCTGCAAACTCGGTGAGTGCAAACCCTTCGTCTTCATCTTCGTGATACACATCCTCTTTGCTTCCCCATCACTCCCCCTCCCCTCCCTTTTGATCGAGAGGTGAACCGCCTGCGCCGGGGATGAACCTGGAAACTCGACGTCGCGAATTTCGCAACGCCGCGCTGAACGTTGCGGCGACTCACCACTCGATCGCGTCGTTTGTTTCCATTTTATCGAAATTTCGTCGTCGTCGATTTAGCGAGATGAAAAGCGGGATTTTAGTCCGGATGATTCGGAGTCTGTCCTGTCGGGAGGAGTTGGTCGAATTGCCACCGAGCGCGCGTCTTGAATACTTCGTGAATTTCGCTTCGACGTTCGCGATTCCAAATTCCTCGGCCTTTTCTATTCTAATGTCGCATCGTCGCGAATCGCCAAAATACACGAGGAACCGGGCCCGCGGCGCTGGCGTTTCGCGTTGCCGGACAGACACGCGCGTGTGTGTGTGTGTGTGTGTCTAGCCGTTGACACTGGCATAATTTAGCGTCGTGTACAGCCAGCCGGCATTGTAACGGCAGTAAACCGCAAGTCGAACGCTACTCGTCAGCTGGGCCGTCTCGCTCGGTAACGCTAACGAGCCTAAAGACCCGGGTCGGTGTAAAACGGTAATTTATTGCCGATAGACGCGAGGATTAGCCCGGCGTCTTCCACCTCGTTCCACTCGAAATACACAGACAGGCAACATACATTGCCGAGGAGGTCCGAAGTGCGTTGTCGAGCGTCAATATCGGCAATCTCCCGAAGCACAACGCGAAAGCCGAGGAGCCGCCGGGCGGCCTGAGACACGTGTTATTTGCGTAAAAAAAGAGAGAGAGAGAGAGAGAGAAAAGAAAATAAATCGCACTCCTTGAATTTTAACACGACGCGCGCGCGCAACTCTGCGAGGCTCAGGACGAGCATCGATCGCTCACGTTTGCGTGTGTCAATTATTATTACTCGCTCGAGACTCTTACGACATTAACTTCGACGCGGATAATGCAATCTAATGTGACTGGAAACGTCAACACGCATTCGACACGCGTTCGGTGATTCCTTTCTTTACGAGCAACAGGGAGCAACACTTGGTAGCTATAGACTTTCAAATGACCCATCGGCGCCTCTCTCACCATACCGAACGCGCTTTCCGAGCCTGGGACCGTGCTCGAATATGACCTAAAAGTCCTCCCCAGCTGAGAGAGAGGCGCCTGCATTGTTTGCGAACTTGGTCGCCTGCTGTTGCCGGCATTCACCGGTCGACTTCGAACTTCTCGCCATTATCGAGGAATTCTTCCTCGCGGTAGCGGAGCCGGTCGGAAATGCCAAACTAGTCGGGCAGGAACTCATTCAGCCGGCGGTCCGGGACGACAACAGATTTGCGCGTAGTTGCGCCCTTCTAAATATAGACGCGAAAAAGGAAAAATACCGGCGCTCTTGTTCTTTTTTCGCGTCGCGACGATTACGTGCGCGCGTTACGGATACAAATGTCTTACCCTGTAAAAAAGAATCTACAATCACGATAAGTTTTTTCTTTCATTAACTCACAATGCCCGAACACGTCATGGTTATTGATAATGATCACACGTCCATCTCGTGCATTTCGATACTGACGAGCAACGTATGACGGAATCCTCGACGCTCGTCTGTCGAAGATCTTTTTTCTAAAAACACTCTCAACGGAGTGCCTCTCGTCGTGCGACCGTGCGTGTCTCACGTTTCACGCAAAGAGAGCACTCTCGTTGGTTCCGAGATAAATTTATATTTATGGTATTAACCTGTCCTGTCCCGCGGCGCCGCTGACGTCCGTGTTGCGCGCTTGACGACGCGATTACGAGCGCAAAAAAGCGTCGCCGCGTCGCGCCGCGTCCTATAAAGTGCAGGAGCGAGCAGGCGCCAGCAAAACGCGACTTTACGTAACCCCGGCTGATCCCTCCTCCTCTTCCCCCCCCCCCCGGTTTACCCCGCCGTGAGGCTCGACGAGAGCGAATTCGATCGCGCGTCCGCGAGGTGCGCGAACTCGGGTCGAAGAATATCGCTTCGGTCGTAGCGACTCGTCGTTGTGTATTCTGAAGCGTTTTCTCATTTCATCGCAGGTTGGTTGTTTAATATCTTTTATGTTTGGTATTTCGAATCGTCTCCTGTATATTCGGGTATATATAATAATACGTAACAAAGCCGCTAAAGTAATGAGTAAGCCGTCTTTAAACGACACGAGCGCGAGCGTTGATGCTGCGAGAGAGAGAGAGAGAGAGAGAGAGCGGTCGTCGGTATTTGTCGGTTGCAAGGTTGAATTCGCGAAGTCGCGCACTGTGTCCAAGTAGTGCCTGAAATGCTTGTGAACAATGTCGGCAATGATCCGATACCGCATAGCCTTTATTCCGTAATTTTAATTCGGCGCGACGTGTACAGAGAGACGCTTAGACAGCTCAGACGTTGATCCGAGAGTCGCGCGCAACACGCGCACCGCGCCTTCGTACTCCGAATTACAAATGTCGAGGAAACTTGATGTGCATAATAAATGGCCGATAACGAGTTTGGCCGGTACGAAATTAACGAGCGTTAGGCGGCGCCGGGGATACGTCTCGGCCCCGTGCGCGGATAAATATTTATTTCTCGGATAAGAGATCCATTCTCGTAAGCCTCGTTAATTGAGCCGATAAATAATGCCAGCTAATTACATCGTCGTCGTCGTGGCGCGGGCGCGGGCGCGCGCTCGCGCTTCGACGAGGACGCGCCGGCGATGTTTCTGCGACGGATTATAGAGAGTTTACGTCGGTGTCGCGATAAATCGAACGCGTGCGACGGCGAGCTCGCGAGCACGAATGCATGCTGTTGCGTGCTGTCGCTGTGCGCTCACCGACGTTTAACGCGATCGAATTATAAAATCGCGGCCGGGAAAGAATCGATTCGCGTACCCCGACCGTTCCGACGATCGAAGGTGTTCTTTTGTTATTTTCCCCCGTCTTTTTTTTTTTTCTTCTAACCGCTGCGCAAGAGAAATACGACCTCTAGCGCGACGCGATCATTCATGCGCGCGCGCGCGAGAAAGAGAGAGAGAGAGAGAGAGAGAGAGAGAGAGAGTCCATCGGCGCCGCCTAATCGCGCGACGACGCACGATTCGTCACAGTCGAGCGCACCGTGGCGCGCGATTTATCGATAACATCGAGCGTGTTGCTGCTGGAAAATCGTATCGGACAGGCACGAGCGAGTCGGCGACGTTCCTCCGGCCAGAAGAAGCAACGATCGCAATGTGACTTTGTGCGCCCCCGGAGATGAAGTCACGGCGGCGCAGATGGGTGTGCGTTTCGTAATTAACAGCGTGCGAAATAACGAGAGATATTTCGGATTTCGCGCTGAGCTTTCCTCCGCCTAATAATAGCGTGCGCTCGCTCGCACCGCGAGTTATACGCATGCCGAAAAAGCCGAGGCATTTGAGGAAAGAGCGGCGGGAGAAAGCTAGAGGAAGAGAGACAGATACCCTGACCGCGATTGAAAAAGAAAAAAAAAACGACAGAGTCGCCGGCGTTGGGAAAAAAGACTCGGAGAACAAAGCGACGTACGTCGGAAGAAAGAGACCGAGAGAGAGAGAGAGGGAGAGAGAGAGAGAGAGAGAGAGAGAGAGAGAGAGAGAGAGAGAGAGAGAGAGAGAGAGAGAGAGAGAGAGAGAGAGAGAGAGAGAAGGGGGTAGAGCGGCGCTTACCAATAGCGGCGCAATCAAAGTTATGGCCACAAAAGGAAATGAATCTAAAAATAAAACGTACATTGGGCGAGTCAGTCGCGACTAGCGGAAAGACGGTGACGCGGGAGTGGGAAGGGTTAGTCGACCGACGACGACGACGACGACGACGACGAGGAGGTAAAGAGAGAGAAAGAACGAGCAACGCAACGGACAGACGAACGAACGAACGGCGGACGGTCAGAGAAAGAGCGCGAGGCGAGTTTTAGCGGACGAGCGCAGCGGCAAGAGGGAACGGGTGGCAGACTGAGGACGGGGCGCCGGTCGTCGAGCATGTGCGGTTAAGAAGGGCAGCGGCGCACCGGCAGCGGCGACAACGACGACGACGACGACGACGACGACGACGACGACGGCGGCGGCGGCGGCGGCGGCGGCAAGAAGGAGATACGCGACGCGAGCGGGGACGGTCCGTCGCGGCCGTCCGGCGGGACCGTCGCGCGGGGCGGCGAGGTGGGACACGACGACGCGAACAGAGAGAGAGGGGGCGCAGCCCGGCGCCGCTGCGTGTCATTGCTGGCGCCAGCTAATTGTCGAGGCCAGCCGGCATTAGTCGAGGAGCTGACCGAACTGAGTCGAACCCCACGAACGAAGGCAGGCAGGCAGGCGAGCAGGCAAACGAGCAGGAAAGCAGGCAGCCAGATACCGGGCACTTTGACTTGTCTCGTCTTGTCTCGTCTCGGTCGGGAAACCGCGGCGAGTCTTGCCTCCGTCGTCGGCGGAATGCGTCGTCGCGTTAAAGTAGAGCGGCGCGTCTTTCGATTTCGTTCGATGAAAATTTCACGACGGAGCCACTCGTCTAGACAGACAAAATTGAATGTTGCAATTCTGATGTCCGATAACGACGGGGGGAGTGGAGGGGGAGGGGGGGAAGAGGGACTGTTGGGCTGACGAAGAGAGAAACGAGAGTTGATTATTTGCGTGTTGGAATTTTCGTATGACGGAACTGAATTTTCGGCCGTGGAACGATTCTCGAATTCTCGACTCTCGCGCACTCGTTGTCGCGAGTGAGAAATTGGCCGAAAGTTCGGCCAATCGGGTAAGTCGCGCAGATTTTTGCGGAGTAGTCTCGCGCAAAACACGCGCCCATTCGCGCGACGCCGACCTTCGATCGTTGAAATTTTTGTGATTCACCGAAAGTTGGGCGCTGCGAAGGCGTCGGGAATCTTGGCCGCTACCGAATGTTATTATATTCTCGGTCTCTCTGGGACACACGTGTGTGTTGGTAGTTTCGACGGATCGGGAATAGGTTTCCTGGGAATTATTGAGCATCGCCGGCGCCGTTCGTACGCGATGCGCAGCGAATTCCGTAGGTACTTAAATCAGACTTCCTTGTTCAAAACACCAAAGACCTCGAGAGTGCGCGCGCGCGCACACGCCAAACGAGCTTTCGTCGCGCGACTGTTGACTATCCACATGTTCGTATTCTCGATGATATCATTTCCGTGGCGTATGCGGCTCGGAAATGCGCGTTTGTGAGAGAAAGAAAGAGACGGAGAGAAGCGCGTGATTTAGCTTCTCATCCGTAAAAGCGAATAAATCTTTGAGAAGAAAAGAAAAAAAAAACACGCCGCAAGCGCGCTCCCGAGAAAATCTCGTCGTGTACTTGACACACATTTTATTTCGTCGATTTAAACGATTTGATTCGATCTCCGCGAATATTTCAGTGTGACCCACACGCACGACGCTAACACAGATCTGTGCGATACGCGGTTAATTTAGCGTCTGTGTTGCTCGAAATAGTGCGCATATTCGTATCGCGTCGTGTAGTCGATGCAACAAAGAGCGAAGCGTCCGTTCCACATAACCGATATGCGCGATGACGAAGTAATCGCGGTGGCGGCATTTTCTCTCTCTTTCTCTCTCTCTCTCTCTCTCTCCCCTCTCTCCCTCTGTCTGTCTGTCTGTCTGTCTGTCTGTCTCTGTTTCTCAGGACGGCTCGATTTACGCGCAACATCGACTCGGATACCGAACGACCACCGGCCATTGTCAGCGATCGTCGATAGCGTACGCTAATTTCGTATCGGATCGCGGCGCGCGTGCGTGCGTGCGTGTGTGCGTGCGTGCGTGCGTGCGTGCGTGTGTTTATCGCCGCGTAAATCGCTCCCGCGGTGGCGCCTTGTTTTCGTAACGCGCCGCCGTCTTTATCTGTTTTTACATTCGGCGGCGTTCGAACATTGCCGAGACGGCCGTTAATAATTCACGCCGGCGAATCGATTATCATCGGCCGGCGGCGACAGCGACGGTGGAGGTGGCGTGCTGATGTCGTCGTTGCCGTCGCCGTCTTCGTCGCCGTCGTCGTTACGCAAACCGTCGCGCAGGTTTATATCGCCGCCGCGTTCCGGCGCGTCGTAATGTACGCGACTTTCTCCACCCCCTTTCGCCGCGGCGCGTGCATTCATTCATGTCCGAAAGTCCACGAGGAAGCGATTTCCACGTGTCCGTTTTTCCCGTTTCTCTGCGCGCGTACGACAGCGACCTGTCTTCGACGACCGCTCGCAAGCGACGAGGCTCCGTCGAAGCATTCCTCCATGTTTTTCCATCGGAGAGAAAAACGGAGACGGCATCTCAGCACCAAAAGAAAAAAAAGAAAGGATCCATGATCCTCTTTATTCATTGAAAATAATACCGATCCGATAACGTAAGGGCTCTCTCCACTGGCGCTCTTTGTCGTTCCCGACGAATTTTGCAAAACTGTCCGCGTGTCACGAATCTTCGCTTTATTGATCGCCGTCTCGTCGCGCACGTGCGCGACGTTCTCGTGCTTTGAAATCGATACGTGACGCCAGGCGGGACGAGTAGGTTAATAAGTACATTAACATTTATCGTTCGTGACTGACAATCGCGTAAACAGGCGTAGGAATGGTTTGCTTATAGAGCCGCGTCTCCTCGCCCAGAGAGTCTCCTCGACGACGACGACGACGACGACGACGACGACGACGGAGGAGGAGATGGCGGAGACACTCTCGGCGCGGCGGCCGGCTTATTACATAAGCCGGCACGGGAGCGCCGCGTTTATTATAAGTGCCTTAATTAGAGGCTAAAATATCGCCGTTTAACTCTTGCGCATCTTGTTATTCAAATCGTGCCAACTCTGGCTCAAAGTTCGAGGTGCGTCGATGAGTGACACGCCGCGCGCCGCGCGCCGCCGCCGCCGCCGCCGGCGGCGGCTTTTATTAAAGCCCGACGACGCCGGCGGCAGCCGGTCGGCTCTTCTCCGCGAGTCTGGAGGGATCGGGAGAAGAAGGAGAGAAAGAGAGACGATCTCCCACGTGTGTGTAGGCGCGTCAAGCGCGGCCATTACGCGTCGGCGAGACGCGACGCGAGGCGACGCCGTCGCGCCCGTTATCGTCTAGGAATTTCGGCGCGATTTCTCCTGCCTGCAAGAAGCGACGACTCACGCACGCGGCCGGCGACACTCTTCGTGTCGTATCGCACCGCTCGACAAATATTTCGTATTTTCTTTATTTTTCGAATAGCCGGCCGCGCGCTCGGGCCCGGAGATAACTTCCCCGGATGATTCTCTGTTGTGTATCCGGTGAGGCGCTTGTTACTGTTCGCGGGAACGAAGCGGGACCGATAAGAGCGATCGATCTTCGTTGACTTTGAACTCAAAGGTATTCATGCTCTGAAGCAACGTGTCTTCGAACAAAGCCAATCTTCGAAGTGACGTACTCACGATCCATCCCTCGTTCCTTAGACATGTTTTTTTGTGGATTTGTAAAACGCTCGGATTGTAACATCGATAATACATGATGAAGTGGCCGATCTGTGTTATCGGCGTCGTGCATGTTTTCCGGCGGAATTCATTTCACCGGGACACTCGTATTTGCGCGAAGAAATATTGTTCAGGCAAAGTCGAGTGTCCGGATAAAGGCTAATTGAGTAGCGAGCTCGTTTTGGTCGCGACGGCGAGTTCCTCGAGGATGCAATTACCTGTACGTACGTATCTCGGCCATGTGCTGCGAGCGACGGCGACGGCGGCGGCCCGTTGTTCCGTTTTCTTAGGTACGAAGCGTCGGGTTACCTTGACGTTTGAGATATTCGCGCCTCGGTTTGTCCTCTATACTTTCAGGGCGATACGTAAAAGGACGAAAAATGGCATACCGGTTTCGCCGCTGCGCCAATAATAGAACCCCTCGCCGCTTTTGGAGCTGGACTTCTCTCTAACGGGCGACCGCGTCGTCGTCGTCGTCGTCGTCGTCGAGCGCGCGCGCGCGCGCGCGTGATACTTCGCTACGTCGCTCCGTCTCTCCGCCGTCGTATGCCATTAATTCGATTTAATCGAAAGCCGCGGGGCCTTGGGTCCGTTTCTCAATGCCCTCCTCCTCCGCGAGCGGCCGATACCAGACACCGAACAAGTTCGGCTGAAAGTGACGGAAACGGTAGTATATACGGGCGGCCCGGAGACACGTTATATAAATCGTTTAACGACGCCGCCGCCCCCTCCTTCTCCTCTGACAATTGACCAGATTTGTACTACAGATTACAGATAAAAAAGTCTCTTAAAATAGAGATAAAATTGTTTGCATACGCGAAATAAGGTGGCACCTTACATCTAGATTAATGATAGCGTGCTCTCTCTCTCTCTCTCTCTCATTCGCTTGAATATTTCTGACGTGTCGATGCAAGCAACTGTCACTTTTGATTTCAGAGTCGCCGCCACCCCCGTACTGCCTTATCACCGACAGACTGAGACCCGAAGGTGAGTGTGTCTTCTTCTCGTCTTTCACGCCGTAATCAGGAGTGCCTGCGACGTATGAATGTGTGTGTGTGTGTGTGTGTGTGTGTGGTGTGTGCATGCGCGCGCGTGCAGCGAGCGTGTGCTTCGTGCAACCATGCCGGCGATAACTCATGTTTATTGCTTGTAAACGTTTACCGTACAAGCAGCGAGGTTCGTCTCTCCTAGCGCGTGTTGTGTCTCACGACCTAGCCCAAAGCAAGGTTAGGGATAATCCGGGACGAGAATGCGCGACACCATTTCTGTTTCTCGGCTTTTCGCGCCGGTGAAATCCCGGCTTACAAAGTCGACGTGTAATATATCGCACCCTATGGTGAGGTCATTCTCACAACAAGATTAAGAAGGTGAGACCAAACTGCTGCTAATCGCGGTGATCGTTGCGTCTTTCCTCTTTTCTTTTTCGTCTTTCTCTTAACACTCACATTAAATTCGCGATCTTCCTCCGATACGGTCGCTGACGAGTCGAATTAGCACGCCGACGGGTATTCGCGTTCGCGCGCATCGATAGAGCTCGATAAACAAGATCGCAGGTGTCGGTGCGTTTCTCTCGGCGCATCTCACTGCTGCGACACCGTGAGAATCTACACCGCGGCGTGGATACACACACGACGGGGTGTGTCCTCCTAGCGCCACGCTTTGCGGGCGATTCCAAAATCGACAAGTCAAACATCCTTGATGAGAACACAGCGGGTGCGCTCGAGAAAAGTCGCGGACAAGCGCGACTGCAAAACTGACGAGCGCGAGTATCCTCATGGGAATCCACCGGCGGTGCGGTGGGAAAAAGTCGAGCGAGTGCGAACGATTGAAACGAAAATCGAGAAACAGCAGCAGCGTACACACTTGCTCGCGCGGTTGTTCGCGATCGCAAGTACGCGCCGCTGTAAGCCGATCCTGTTGATCGCGATACGCCGATAGGTTTCATGGTATCGCCGTTTCAGCGGTTGATCAATGTAACCGCCAGCCAATATCGATCCACCGGATTGGAGACTGACCGATCACGCGCGCTCGCGCGAGCGCGAGCGCGAGCGCGAGCATCGTGATGATGCGAGAAGCGTATCGATATTCAGCGCGACGTAAATTCACGCTTTTTACCCTTTTACGCTGGCGAGCAGTCTCGGGATGAAACATTATCCCGCGTCGCGCGAGACCTCTTAAATCGCGAGATCGTGTTCCCCGACATTTAGCCGGCGTTTCCTCGTGTCTAGTTTATCGCATATTTTTTTCTCAATCGACCGACGCTCAAAGTCACATCGCGACTCGCTCGTCAAGTCTGCCGACGTGATTCTCCTCCGCGGAAATTCGGCCGACGATCGAAAGCGCGAAAGCGAAAAGCGAAAACAGCGAGGAACCGCGCTTCGTAACTCGCAGGAAGACACCGGAGCGAGATGTTCGCGGCGATATTTTCTGCCGACTACGTCCACCTCTCTTCCTTCTCGCTTCCTCCTCTCCCGTCGCGCGCTCTCCTCGTCTCTGGTTTTGACTGCCGCCTCCTGCGTTTCTCCCTTTTCTCTCTCTCCCTCTCGCTCGCTCTCTCTCTTTCTCTCTCTCTCTCTCTCTCTCTCTCTCTCTCTCTCTCTCTCTCTCTCTCCATCCGCGTCCGATCCTAAACTGGTTCTCTCGGGATCGACGCGAGCGAACGAGCGAGTGAACGCGCGCGCGCGCGCGCGGATCGGCTCTCCGGTCATCGATAGATTCGCCATCGCCGCCGCCGCCGCCTCTTTCGTTCGTCGAGAAATCTCACCGCTGCGGCGGCGGTTCTCTCTCACGAGAGAGCTGGTTGCGCAATTACACGCAAGTGTAACCACTTGTCGTCCTCTCCCGATTCCTCCCATTCATCCCGGTGTCCTCCTCCGAAATATCGTTGCGTGCGATCGAACCGAGCGAGCGAACACGTCCAACGTCGTCAGGGTTGTCGTCGTCGCGGCTGTGTACTCTCAGGTTAAACCACACTACAGATATCGACTAACGGACGTCGGCGACGTGCGAGGGTATTGCGTTATATCGTCTTGTCCTTCTTCTTTCTTTTCCTTTCCTCTCTATTTCATCCTCGACGGTTGTTACTCGTGAAAAATAGTCGATAGCGTAAGCGTCTCCGTCCGGTCGGCGTTACCGCTGGCGCGTTTGTGTGCCAAGCATAATATGACGAAATAATAGCGCCTGCAGCTAGGAGAACCGCGCGTTCGTTCGCCGACGTGATATACGTGTATGCGTGCGTGCGTGCGTGCGTGCGTGTGTGTGTGTGTGCGTGCGTGTGTGTGTGTGTGGTGTGTGTGTGCGCGCGCGCGCGTCTATAGATTACGGTCGGACGCACCAACACACACACACACACATACACACACACACACCCACAACGGCGCGGAGAAATACTGCCGAGTACGCGCGCGCGCGCGCGGTGTGTACCGCCCCGAGGTCAATACCTCCTGTCGATAGAGAGGACCGCGCGCGCGGCTCCCCGCGTATTTATATAAAGAGGATCCAGCCGCGAGAGAGTAGGTCCGGCGTTCTTGAAGGTATTATTAAATCCGCAGGGCGCGTTATAAATACGGACCCGGCCGCCTACGTCGTCGCCCCGATCGAGGTTGGCGCACTTGCGCTTAAACGGTCGCGACCGAACGTCTGTCTCGCTCGGCTGCGCGACTTCGAAATTTGCAGGGCCCTCTTTTTTTCCTCGCGAATCGAGCTTCCTCTCCAATGTCGATTTTTCGCCGTCGATTCTACATTGTACGTCTACGTAGCGTCGTGAGCTCCGCGTATAGTATATACCGCACGGACAAAAGCGGTTGCTTTCTTCACGCTGCTGCTGTTCGTCAAACAGCCGCGAACGCTCGGCTGCTCGCGGCTGTTTTACGCGCGTGCCGCGTTGCGACACGACGTTGAGCCGCTGGAGCATCGGGAAACGCGGGCGTGCAGCGCGCCAAGTGTGGCTCTCCTCTCGTCCTCGTGCGGAGGGAAGCGGAGCGAACGCGGTGCGTCTCGGGAGCAAAGTGACTCCGCCGTAAATCTGTCTTTCGACCGCGCGAATTTACGCCCGGTCGCGGAAACTGGGCCATCGCCGAGGCGCGCGACGACGACGACGACGACGACGACGGCGGCGGCGACGACGACGACGACGACGACGACGACGACGACGACGACGGCGGCGGCGACAGATAAAAGTCCGCGCCGCCGCCACCGCCGCCGCCACTTGTTGCTGCGCGCGACGCGTTCGTACCGCGAAACGGAGATTCAGTCGAATTGACTGGAGGGCGTTCCGACGGAGAGGTTCCGCACGAGGAAACTCGCCTTCTCGCGTTCATCGTGAAACAAAGAGTCGGAGGGAGGGGGAAAGAGGGTGGCGGATTAGCCGGCGGGGAAAAACACGCGGCCATCACCTCGGCGCTTTTCCGAGCGCGAGCGCTTCCAAGTAATTGCACTTTTACCGATTCCTTGCTATTTATTTATAATCCCGCGTATCTTTATTATTCAATTAGACATGGAATAGATAACATTATCTGCCGGGTATATTCCAAGAACCACCTCTTTCCCCCTCCGCGACGATGTTTCCTGCGAATCTCGGCGGGAATTGAGCGCAGTTTTAATCGATAGACGACGTTTCTTTCGGCTGTCCTGTTTCCGTCTCCGCTAAGAGCGTGTCCTTATTACCGGAAAAAAGCAGAAACGACTGTGGGGATCCTCGCGGGGTGTTCGCGACTCGATGACTCGATATTCGTGCGTTGTCCGCTCCGTGTCAGATACGGAGTCCCACCGGCGATTGCGCAAATTTCAACGAATACGACGAAGGACAACGCGCGCCGCACGAACAGTCCCTTTCAAACGCGCGCGAGGACAAGCGTCGTCGAGCTGCGTGCTGGCGTTGCTGCGCGGCTCGTGTTTTTAATTCCTCTCTCTTTTTCTATTACTATCTTTCTCTCTCTCTCTCTCTCTCTCTCTCTCTCTCTTTCTCTTTCTCTTTCTCTCTCTCTCTGTCCCTCCGTGATTCGCGTCACTAGGCTGTCTGATTTTCGTAGCGTCCCGCCGTGACGCGAGTAGAAGCGTGAAGGATAAATTTCCACGCGTGACCTGACGATCTTTTGTCTCGCGGAAAGACGAAATCAAAATAGAATAGGAATGCGATCAAACGTATTCCGAAGAGCGTGTCTCGTCATCTCGATCAAAATTCACTGCGTAATTCACACATGAAGGACTCGAAGAGAAAAATTCGCGCTCGGTTGAACGGTCCACGCTCGTCCGACTTGAAGACCGGAACGAACAAAACGCGAATATAAAAAAGAAACGATCCCAAAAAAGATCGACGTAATACTTCGCCGGGAATAAAATCCGCGTCGCTGAATGAATTTCCCGGGACGATCCGCCGCCGCCGCCGGTCTCGTCGCCGGAAAGAAGGTAACGAAATGAATGAAATGCGCGCGTGCAAAGCAGACGCATGCGCGCGCGTCCTCGATAAGAGAATTGACGACGCTAATAGAGATCGCGGCGCTGTCGAGAGTCGCGAGCGCGCGCGCGCGCGACCGTTCGGTACTTTCGTACACAACCTTGAGAGAACGCGAGTCCCCGCACGTAAGCCGCGCCGCGAGAGGTTAAGGGCACGTATAGGGCCCCTTAGCGCCGGCCGAAGGGTGGGGCTGACGTACACCGGTAATACGAGGCCCCGAGAACGGAGCGGTGGGCGCCTGTCGCCTGGCTCTTATACGCTTGCCTACCCGCTCCTTCGGCGTCCTTGATACATCCCTCTCTCTTCCCTCTTTCCTTCCTTCCTCCTCCTCGCTGGTCTTTCTTCTCCTCTTCTCTCTCTTTCTCTCTCTCTCTCTCTCTCTCTCTCTCTCTCTCTCTCTCTCTCTCTAGCGAGAGCCCCCTTTCTCCCCTGCTCCGTGCTCTCGCTTCGCTCGCCTCGTCTCTCTCTCTCTCTCTCTCTCTCTCTCTCTCTCTGTATGTGTGTGTGTGTGTGTCTTTCAGCACCTTGGCCACTTTGATCAAGAGAGAGAGAGAGAGAGAGAGAGCCCAAGCCCAAGCACGCATTCTCCCCTCGTCCCTTCTGCCCTTGCACACACGACCCTTCGGCTTCCCTCTGTCTTCTTCCTCGTTTCGCCCGGCCTCCTGTCTCCCTGCACGCTCCTCTCCGTCATGCGCGCGTTGGTTTGTTTGATTTTACCTTTCCGTCCGAGCACACAGCGCACGCAGCTTCCATTTATTCCGCCGATGACGAAGCTCTAAACAAACTCGGTGATTTCGCTCGGAGTGAAACGTCGCGTAGCCTGAGCCGCGCGAAAGATACACGAGGGCTCGGGGAGATCGCGACCGATCGCGGCTTATCGTCGAACTTCGCCGAGAGAAAAGATTGACCTGAAATTCATCGGGAAGTCTGTTATTGACGGAGCTATGCGGTAGGAGCTGCATACTCCGTATAATGAAATCTCTCCCTCTCTCTCTCTCTCTCTCTCTCTTCTCTTTCTCTGTCTCCGTCTCCCCCTCTGTCCGTCTTTCTCCCTCATCCTCTCCGCTCCATCCTCCTTTCGCTCTCCTCTCGTCTCCGCTCGACCGCCATGAATCGCCGCGATCAGCGGGAGTGGCTCTCTCGCATTCCGCTGCCTCCTTCGCCGTACCGATCTCGCGCCGGCAGCGAGTTGTGACCGGACCGAGAGCACCGACAGAGAACGAAAGAGAGAGAGAGAGAGAGGGAGAGGGAGGGAGAGACAGAGCGCGTTCGCTCGCTCGCTCGCTCGCCGATTTCCGGATCGCAGGAGCCCGACGAGATGATGCCGTCGTCGTACGCTTTTGAAGATCCGCCGGCGAGATCCTAATTCGATGCAGCTTTGCCCGCTGCTCGTTGTCGACGACGACGACGACGACGACGACGACGACGCGATGCGCAAGCACGCCACGGCGCATTATAATGTGTGACGTCGGTCAGTCTCCAATGTCACGACATTCAGCCTCACAACGACTTACGTTGTGATACGATACTCACGATTTAGCGAAACGGCAACTCGCGATTGGTTACCTTCTCAAGATGTATGCATCGTTTGCACGTAAAAACGGAGAACATCTACGATGGTTATTCTGAGGCTCTTAGACACTTTCAGTCGCGTGAAACGCGTTAAACGGTCTCTCTCAAAAGTCTTCTTTTATTAAAAGAAAAAAGAAAACTTTTTACCTAAAAATAAAATTATACCATCTTTTGATCAACCGAAAGATAGTATAATCGCAGTGCTGTCGTAAACATTTTCTTGAGTTAATATCTTGGGGGAAAAAGGCGAGATCGATACTCGCGAGTATTTTTAGAAGTGACTTTCCGTGAAGCGTATAGTGATAACCCGAGTCGAAATTTTCATGTGCGCGCAACGTTTCGGCCGCAGCGGATCTGCGCGAATAACGATACTTAACGTCGTCGTCGCCGTCGCTGAAGAGAAATTATCATCGCGACGTCCCTTCCCTCCTCCTCCGGCCGCGGTTTCCCAAGCTAAAGCTCATAATTCACGAATCCGCTCACCTTGGTGGGTGAGCGCGCGCGGTGGCGCCGTCGCCGTCGCCGCCGCCGCCGCCGCCGCCGCCGCCGCCGAATCTTCCGCGTGGCTATATATTTTTGCAAACTCGGCGGTGACACTATCTCGCAGATTCGCGCGGCACTTAACGGCTTACGGTGACACGCGTAATTCGCGGAATTATATTTACGCTCCCTTTGTGGAGTGACGCGCGTGCCAAAACCGCGCTGCGAGCTCTCCCGTCGGCCACTTTGTAAATAAATTGTATTTGCTCGCGTCGTCGCATCGGCCGCACCGATGTGACACCGGGTATAATAAAAGCCCGCGGGTTCGCGTGTCAACTTGTGTTCCTTATCGGACAAATATTTGCGCCATCGATCGTCCACGCGCGCGCACCTCTTCGATTGTTTGCCGCGGCTTGCGCGTCGGAGTTTCCGCCACTCGGGAAAATCCTGAAAAGCGCGCAAGTCCGATCCGTCTGCGCAAGGCGCAGTCGCGAATCTCGTAAAATTCGCCGAGGTAATTTCGTCCGGAGGAATATTTTTTTTTTTTTCTTTTTTATCGTTTCGAATCACTGAGAGATTAATATGGAAGACAATTTAAAGAGATGAGAAGACGTCCGGAGAAATGTCTCGCCGATGAATAATACGATACGTTTCCGACATTTCAGCCGTTTCATCGTTATTAGATTCGGTATTATCGGAGTTAATTTCGTCGCGACGGGGACGGGAGAAATTCGCTCGAGGGGAAAGAGTTGGGTAAGTTTCGGGTTCTATTTACGTAACAACCGTGCGGACAGGCGCTCGCGTGGGAAACAGGATGGGTGTTTTGGCGAAAGGAGGAGAAGGAAGAAGAGACGACAGTCGTCGTCTCCTCCGAGAGTTCGCCCGTTGCGTCGACGAGCGGCACGGCCGGCGCGTTTTCGAATAATTCCGTCCTAAAAATAGAGGACTGTCTTCTAAGATCCTTGAAGCCCTCTCGCTCTTAGCTCTCGCCCCGTCCTCATCGCTTTCTAATGTTCTTGGGCGCGACGGCAGGAAATGCTTCTCCCGCAGGAACGAGCCTGTGGAATCCAAAAGGTATGCGACCGCCCTCTCGCTCGACTTGTCTCTCCTGACGTCATCCTCTCTTTTAGTGAATGGGTCCGGCCTTCTATGGTCTATCTCTAAAACTATTAATGTGCCATCGATCCTCGAAAAGGCCGAAAGAAAAAGAAAACAACTTTTGTCCTGAGACCTGAGACCTTTTCTCATGGAAGCGCCTCGCTATTCGCGCGACGCTCTCCTTCGAGATATCTATTTTGGAAACATCTCACACATTTTAACAGGTTAGGTTTTAACCCTTAAACCGCAACCATCTCGAGTCCCAGCCGTCGACTATGAAATTATCACGTTTAATTTCACGCGATTGCAATTTCATCATTTCTGACGAAGTAAATTTTGTAAGCTACGTGCGATTGTAAGCGATGATACAAACGGCTTTCGTTCAGCGCGTTGAAAGGACTATTGTGGGCTGAATTAAAGGGCAAGAAGGAGTGCTGCGACGAGAGGTTCAGGAAAAACAAAAACGAACGTCGGTGAGCATTAAATCGGGCGTTCGCGGGCCGTTTACGAGGAAAACGGATAGATTAGCATTGTTTCGCGCGAATTAGCCGGTCGGTCCCGTCCGTTACACACGAGACCTTTGCCACGGCGCGCGGCGAATAAATTATCCGTCCCGGGCGAATCATTATTTTGGACGATTCTGTCACCTCCTTTGTGCCGCCGGCGCGGGAGGGAGAGAGCGCGCGCGCGAGAGAGAGAGAGAGAAACGCTCGAATTTTCGCGAGGACTATGAATCACGCGTCCGCGATTACCTTGGCCGTTTCTGTCTCGGCTCGTGAAAATCGTCGCGCTTAATTATCGTCGCGCCGCGCCGCGCACCCGCCGCGACGAGCGATCATGAATTCTCGCGAATTGTCGACGCCGTTAATCGCGGCGACGACGACGCGAAGACACTGCTGGAGAATCAAGAGTAGCAAGTCCCGCGTTGAATCGTTTTTCTCTTTGCGATAAATAGACGAGAGAGAGAGAGAGAGAAGGAGAGAAGCATCTAATTCGTTGCTCAGTTCGCCTTCCCGCCGACGACCTCGCGCGTCCGCGGTATCAAGGCGCGTTATTAACACCCGCTGAGAATTCCTGTAATTTTCGACACGACGCGCCTCTCACAGACGAATATCGCTAGCGACTTTGCGCGCAAAGAAGAATCAAATCTAGATCGTTCGATAATGCGAAGAAAGAACACCGCGACTAGTGTCTATCACGACAATATGTGTATGGTCTCTTTTTCTTTTTTTTTTTTTGTAATTATTAACGTTACTTCCTCCAGTCGCACCGACGCGGTCTATTATTATTTTTATTAATTAACTGCATCTGCAAAAGATCACCACGTGGAACTTCGCTGCCGGTATTTTCGCCGGCAAGTCTTGCACGCGACGCGAGATTCTCCGCGTTCCGCGCGCAAATCGAAGCCTCTTTCGCGTACGACAACAAACCTTGTCATATACGCAATGACGATGCATTACGTTGCAATATTGCTCGTGCGATTGCCGCTTCGTTTCTCGCGCGTCCTTTTCTCCCCTCTCGTCTCCCTTGGGCACTCCAGATCGATTGCAAACGGTCGATCACGCATGTGTGCTTTCGTCTTTGCGGAGAAAGAGAGAGAGAGAAGCGAGGGAGAAGACGGGAGTGTGCGAGTGTATGTGTGTGTGTGTGTGTGTGTGTCGCGGGAAAGGAGACAGGAAGAGAAAAAATGAGGGGCAGGGAGAGAGAGAGAGAGAAGAAGAAATAGTCCCTCGCGCGAGGAAAGCTTCTCAAGGGGTTGCCGTTTATTTTCAGATCGCGCGCCCAGCGAAGGGGATCAACGTCGGTGCAAAAACAGCACGCCCCTGCCACTTCCCGGCTCGCTTACCACCAACGGAGAAGGTAACTATGTCCTCAAGGTTATACGTATCCCCCATATGCTCTCGGATCTTGCGTCGAGAGATATACGAAGCATCCCGCGAGGGTCTTTATAATGATAACGATGACGACGACGTCGGCGGCGGAGGATCGTCGAGATCGTCGGATTTCGATCGACCAGCTTTTTCAGGAAAAAGCGAAACGATCTCTCGCGCGTGTCGCTTGTTCTCTCTCTCCTCGCCTTGGACTCGCGAATGATCGCTCAACCGCGCACGAGATTCGTCCGCTTTACGTCACTGATCGACGGCGCCACGCTCCTGTCCACGTGGGTAACCTTGATCGACGCGCCGCGATCGATCTCTTCTTGCGTTTCGCGACGGTTTTCTTTTCCGGCGGGCGATCCGTGCGACGGAAGTTCACGAGGGCGAACTCGTACCACTGGGCGACGGAATTGTCCGTATCGAGGGAAAAAAAGAGAAGAGCAGGAAAAAATTCACGTCCCCGGTATCGGAGTAGCGGCGAGGGAGAGGAGAGTACGACGGGTCTGGCAATTTCGCGCTCGATGACACGCGATTACGATTGCGACAATGATTTATCCGCGCCCATCGGCCCGCGAAATTTTCTCGAAAGGCCGGAGTGATGCATCGCCGGCGCGGCGCAGCGCGACGCACCGAAGAAATTTCCTCAGCACGCACGTTCCACGGGGCTGACGCGCGCGTAGGTTTTCACGCATGACGCACCGCGCGGATCGCGGACTCGTCGTTTTTCGGGCCGCTCTCGGGCTCTCGCGCTCTCGCGTTGCTTCGTGGAACGCCTGAAACGCTTTTGGCCCCGGTCAGAACGAGGAAAGCGAGCGACGAACGAACGAACGCGCTGTTCCCTCGACTGCCCGACGACCACGCTCGTTTCCCCGCGTTGCATTCCGCTCGCGACGTCGTTCGATAATTCTCCGTTGTCGCGGGACTTTTCTCTCTCTCTCTCTCTCTCTCTCTCTCTCTCGCGACGAGACGGAAACTGGAAACACGGACGATTACAATAATAAAAAAGAGACGCGCGACGGGTCTTGAATGTGTGTTGAAAAACATTCGTACGACGGGGAGCGACGTCTCGCAAGGCGATTGTCCGTTTACTTGTGTAATTATTAAGCCTACTACAGCGGTATTTCTTTCACCGCTACGCAAACCAGAGACGCGAACGATTCGAGCAGCATGGAGAGACACGGTCTTGAGAGATAGAAAAAAATTTTGTACGATGGAAGTTTTATACCTCATTGTTACAAGACGATTGTTCGTTTACTTATAATTATCAGGCTCGCTCGGAAGGTATTTTAATGGATAAAGCGTCGATCGTACCTTGAACAGACATAATTTGATCCGTGGTGGAAGGGTTCAAGCCTGGAGCGTGTGGCGTTTGTTCATGCTCGATCGATTGCGAATTCCCACCGTCGTCGTCGTCATCGTCGTCGTCGTCATCATCATCGTCGTCGCCGTCGTCGTCGCCGTCGTCGTGGTAGCCGCCAGCGCTGGCGGTGGAAAAGAACGAACGATCGACTCGGGCGAGGAACGTTCGCGACGTTGACGACGTCGCGGTGGAGTTTTCCTCCCGTACGTGGAGGCCTTTACTTTTACTATCTGCCTTTGCCAATGCAAAGGCCACTGCTCTGACGACGTCAGACATTCCCAAGCCGGCAGCAAATTGCGTCTGTGCCCGGCGCGTACACGCGCTCACTCGCTCGAGCTTCTCGCGATTTTACACGAGAGAACGAGATACGGCCGGCGACGACGACGAACGATGTCCGCTTGTCGTTTCGTACGCGCGCTTAACGCGGGAGTGGCCGGCGTAGAATGCAATTTGCGCTAGGGCGTTCCAAAATCGAGAAGACATCTCCGCCGTACCGTAATAGCCCGGAGCTATCAAACGTTGCTTTCAAGCAAATTCTTCGGCTGTGTCTCGGGGTCTTTAGACCGGCGACTTAATCGCATAGACTTGTCGTCGACATTCTCTTCGTTTACATCGCTCGCCAATTGTTTTCCTTTTCTTTTTTCCTTTTTGTCGCTTTGGTTCTCCTGTGTGTGCTGGCTGTACGTAATCAAAGTTAAACGCCTGCGACGTGAGAGACGATTAATGCGGGGGGATCACCGCGACGAAAGACGGATACGGCACATATCTCTTTCTTTTTCCCGTGCCGGAGGATTTCCGAGATGGCTTTCGTTTCGAACTCGCGCGCTGGAATTCCTCCGGGGTTTAAGAGCGCGCGCGACGCATCGCGCACGCCCGATCTGTCGCCGGCGCCGAGCAGCGATTGCCGGAAACGAGAATCGTCGTCGTCGCCGACGCGATTGCACTTTCGTCGGCTTAGCGCGCGTCACGTATATTCGCGCGATACTGCGCGAGGCAATATAATACGCGATACGTGAAGTTTAGAGTCGCCGGGAGAGGATGGCACGGAATCATAAACACGCGCACGGTCCGTCTTTTTATTCGAGTCGGTTATAGATAGAGCGCTGCTTCCGGGAGAGCCCAGAAATATCAGCAGCCGATCGCGAGCGAGTTCCTCCGACTCGCAACCCGCCTCGCATCGAAATATTCCGCGGCTTGACTCTGTCGGCTCGGGAATATTCGCGTAAATTCGACCAAACACACACACACACACACACACACACACACACACACACACACACACACACACCACACACACACCCCCCGACCCTTTGTCTCATAACTCGGAGACTCAGAGACGATGAGGACGCCGAGTATCCCACGTCACCCTATCGAGACATAGCTCGATACTCAGAAATTGAACCATCAAACAAGACGGATCCTTCAGAAAGCCCCCCAAAAAAAAGCCGGGCCTGCCAAAGTAACTAAGCCTGCGAGAACGAATGCGAGTCGCCGATCTGTCAAAAGTGTCGAGAGCGTGGTGCGTCGCAGGACGCAGGACGAGGGAAGGCCGTCGCAGGAGGAAGGGTAGGAAGGAAAGAGAGGGAAAGCCGGCTCCCGGGATGCAGGTTTGAGAATGGCACGATAGGTCGACTAAGGTGGGTGGCATTCGGCGCGACTGTTTGAGGGAACAGGGGGACCCTGGCGCCAGACAGCTGCCGCGTGTCTCGACCTCGCTCGTTCGCTCGCTCGCTCGCTCGCTCACTCGCTCGCTCGCCTCTCTCTTTCTCTCTTTCTCGCTCTCTCCACGTCCGTCGCGCCGCTCCGATCCACACCGCGCCGCGCCGCGCCGTGCCACGGCTCTTTTCGCCTCTCGTCTCCTCTCCTCTCCTCTCCTCTCCTCTTCCTCCTCTCCTCTCCTCTCCTCTCTCCCCTCTCCTCTCCTCTCTCCTCCTCTCCTCTCCTCTCCTCTCGCTTCGCTTCGCCTCGTATCCATATGTACGGCCATACGTATGTATGTATGCACCTACCTACGTGCCCGGCTTGGTTCGCTATTTTATTGATTTATTTTGGCGCTAGGCCTCTCTTTCTCTTCCCCTCGCTCTTTCTCTCTTTGCTCGCTTTGGCCGTCGCCGTGCTGCCTTCGGCCGACGATCGATCGAAATGCGCCCGTCTCTCGGGTTCTCGAGAATCTCGAGCGCCGCGCCGCCGCCGCGCCGAGTTCGAGTCGAGTCGAGTCGAGTCTCGGGTCGCGCCGACGGAGGAGGCTCGCGCGGTGGGTTTCTACGATTCCGCGATTGCGATTCGCAAAACGGACGGAGCCGCGTCGACAGCTGCCAATTGGCGATTACGAGGGCTCGGTTGATTCCGAATTACCGTGTATCGATGCGTTTCTCATCATTGTCCTGCGGCTATATTTGCGCATCTTGTTATTATTGCCGCGTTAATCGGTATCTTGGAAAATCTAGTCGAGAGGATCTGACGGATCGAACGGAAACGCGAGTCCACCACGGTTCTCCGCGTTCCCGATTCGCGCGAGCATAAAGCTCTCCTCTCTCTCTCTCTCTCTCTCTCTCTCTCTCTCTCTTTCTCGCGTCTCGCTCGCCGCGAGACTCTTCCACGACGATAAATTGTCCACCTACGTGCGGCTACGAGAGGCCGCTCTCGAGCACGACCGCGGGTAGCCCGTTGCGAGCCACGCGGCGAATATTTTACGGTCGTAGGTTCGGCGATTGCAACATGTTGCGCGTGGTGGGTGCTGCTGCGTGGAGGAGAGGCACGCGGATATATCCCGGCACCGTAAAAGCAACAGGTTGCTCGTGTCCGCTCCTTTCCTCTTAGCGAAGAGGCGACGTCTCGTCGCCACTGCTGCCGTCGCCGTCGCCGTCGCCGTCGTCGTCGTCGCCTTCGCCTCCGCCGGTCCGGGACACCCTCCGCATCCCTCAATGGGAGCGTCATTACCGGTCCGGCGCCATCCCTATCGCCCTAACGCGATAACCGAAGTAAACGGGCCGGTTCCATTCATCGAAACACAGCGGGATAGCTCTCTGAATCGAGCTCCCTTCGAGAGACCCGTCGCTCTTTGTTCGGGGATAAAAGTTGGTCTATATACA